TCTTCAAATTCTCATTATACCTTTCCTAGAATATTGCAAAACTTTCCTAGCTGCTTCTCTTCACTCTAATCCAATGCTCTTCCAGTCCATTCTTCACTTCTCCCAAAGTGATTTTCCTAAGACATAAATCTGACTGCATTGTTTCTGATACAGAATCCTCCAGTGGTTTCTCTATGACTTCAGGATAAAACAAAACTCCATGTAATTTATAAGTTCTTCTATTCTAGCTTCATCTTTCTCTGCTTCTAACTTGTACCCAAAATGTTGAATCTTTAGTGTCTTCCCATCAATTTTCCAAATTCACTGAGCTGTTTAATCCCCCAGTCTTTGCATACACTATTCCCTTTGCTAGAATACCTTTCTTCATTTCATTTGTTCTAGTGAACTAATCCCTTAAAACCATGTATGGCCATTACTCACGCATTTAAATCCTTCCTGATCACCTGCAAAAAGAGGAAATAATAAAAGCATATTTTAATTCTTATACCTACTTGTATTCTTTTCTATAGCAAGGCCTTTGCACTTGATGTTTCCTTTTTCTAGAATGTATCCCCCAGCCCCCGCCTGTTCTTCATAGGATGGCTTTTTCTAATCATTTAGGTCTTTGTTCAAGTGTTATTACTTGCAGGCAAGTCTCCGGTTCACTCATTTTAACAGAGCAGCTCCATCACCCTGATCATTATCAGTATCATCCTCAGATCTGTGTTTTAAAGGGCCTTCTCCATGGTTATATGGGATCCAGCACCAACTAGGGCTCCAGTACGATGGGCAGGAGGGAGAGGAAGGTGGGCACTGAGCCCATACCAGACCTGCATAGATCCCAGACCCATTTCAATACTTCAGGGTATTTTTGAAACTTCTATTTCTTACATGGGGTCAATCAGATGCCCCAAAGAACTCTCAGAGTTGTGCTCTGAGGTTATCCAATGTCTCCATGTCTAGCCCTGGTTTGGAGGGCAGCCTAGCCAGCAGATCACTCCAGCTGACTGGCACAATACTTTTGTTCTGGGGTCATGTGAAATGGGTCACCTGAATGGTACTGCCACATTGATTTGGAATAACTCAAACTTTTTATGTATACACAGGTCCCATATAACCTGGGAATCATACTGCTCCTTCATAGCACTTATACATTCTGAAAGTATACTGTTTAACCATTTATTTATCTTTTTTCTGAGTGTCACACCTCCTGTAGTAAAAGTAAGTAGAAAAGAGTGACCTTAGCTATCTTGTTCACTATCAGACATTCAGTGCTAAACAGTTTCTGGCACCAAAGTTATTCAGTAAATATCTGTTGAACAGGTATGATTGCATGAAATAGGGTATTTAACTATAGACTTCTCTTCATCTCTACAATATAAGCTCTCAAGATAAAGAATTTTGTCTTACTCAGCTTGATCTTCATACTGGCATAGTGCTTGCCATATGTGAAGGCATGAAGTTAGTATCTTTGAATGCATAAAAAAATGACTAAACAGATAAATGAGTGAGTGAATGATCATGTATTATTTAGACTCAAGGTTCTTAACCTTGTCCTCACAGTTCTAATGTGTAGACAAGGTTAAGAACCTCTGGTTCTTAAAAGTTCTTTAAAAACTTTTAAAAACTGCAATGCCCAGGGCCAGTTAAATCAGAGTCTCTGAGGATGCATCCCAGGCATGATTCCTTAAAACTCTCCAGAAAATTTCAGTGTACAACCACAGTTGAGAATAGAGTGACCAGCCATCCAGGTTTGTGCAGGACTAAGGCATCTCCCAGGATGTAGAAATTTCTGTGACAGTACCAGGCAAACTTGGATGGTGGGTTACCCTAGTTGAGAACCACTGATCCAAACTGTCATGTAGCACACTGTTCTTGAGTGATATATTTTCAATTTTTGAAAAGTCAAGACTCATCAGTTTCATGCTTTCACTTGACACTTGTCCAATTACATTCAGGCAGCTTCTGTTGACCTCAATGACTGCTTCCTGCTATGTGTTCGTCTTCAGATTTGTGCGACTACTATTGACTTGGGTGACATACAAATGTGTGGCATGCAAATGGCAAAGGAAATGGTTAAACCATTAAACCGCAGGTCAGCAAGGCCCAACAGAGCAGTGAAGCCTCCTCACCCGGAGGTAGCATGAAAGGCTACTTTTCCAAATGCAGTCCAGTGAGCCTTCACTTTTTATTTTCCTTCAAAATATTGACAATACATTCTGACATATTCCTATTTATTGCTTATTTATGTCAGTTACCCTGGTATGAGCTTACAGTTCCTGCTGTTGTCGGAGGAGACAAGAAATACCTTTCTTAATGGAAAAATCCCTATGTAAATTGAATTAATATTTATCAGTCCAGCTAGTATAATTCCTAATTAATTTAGTACAAGTATGTGATTTCTACTGAACCCATCAATGTCTGGACACCAGAATCAGAAATGCCCTTTGACTTCTGAAGGGAACACAGCACCAAAGCTGTCTAGGGCCTTGTTATTCAAAGGGTGGCCCTAGATCAGCAGCATCAGCTGGGAGCTAATTAGAAATCCAGAAACTCAGGTCCCACCCCCAGACCTACTAAATCAGAATCTTTAGAGGTGGGGCCCAAAAATCTGTGTTTTAAAAAGCTCTCCAGTTTATTTGTATGCATGCTCAAGTTTGAGAAGGGCTCATCTAGAGAACACTTGCCTAGTTCTTCACATCATTGTCTCAAAGCCCAGAGGGTGAGCAGGGAAAAGAAGCATGTAAGTCACTTGTCCCCAAACTCTGCTGCACATTGAAAATACCTGGAGAACTTAAAAATTTGCCACCCAAGTCACTGTGATATCATTGGTTTGGGGTGTGACCTAGGCCGAGGGATGGTTTAAAAGATTCCCATGTGATCCTAATGTACAGCAGAGACTGGGAATCACTGATATAACAGCCATATCCCCAGCTTCTTGCTTTGGACTTCTGCTGCCAAAGAACCCAGAGGAATGGGCAACATCAGCATTTTCTCTCCTTCCTTCCTTCAAACATCGGAATCAGCAGTGACTCTGAATCTCACCCCTGGCATCATGAATGCTTCTTCTGTTTCCTCTCTGTTGGTAGCTGTTTGATCTTTAACTTCTCTGGACCTCAGTATCATCTGTCAAATGGAGACAGTAAGACCCAATTCCAAGGATTATTTGGGACTTTATACATGATAACATGTGCATGTGCCAAATTTGCCATCCAAAACATCCGAGCCAGGTGAGAGAGTTACCTCTTTATGCTGCCCCCCTGGTGGTACAGGGGGACATCCAGCAGCATGAAGTCGAGCGCATGTTTAGGGATGTCTCGTGCTCAAAACACCGAAGATGGCAATGAATCGAAACAACCCTGTTTGCCTATGAGTTCATTTATATGATCTCATTTCAGTCTCACATCTCAGCTGGGTAAACAGGATAACTCTCAGTGTCCCTGTTTTACAGACGATAAAACGGGTTTAGGGAGGTCCGGTACCACACAGCAGCAAACGGCAGACTCAGATCCTCTGACTGTAACCCCGTGTTCTCTCCACCTAACCATCCTCAGTCTCACATCCAGCTGCTTGGCAGTTTGCGTTTTTGGACAGGATGCATTGACCTAGACCAGCTCTGTCCCAGTAGACCATCTCTGTGATGCTGGAACTGTTCTGTATCTGCACACTCCAATTCAAAGGCCACCAGCCACATGTGGCTACTGAGCATTTTAAGTGTCGCTAATATGGGTGAGGAGTTAAGGTTTTAATTTTATTCAATTTTAATTAACTTAGATTAGTCACATATAGGGGCTTCCCTGCTGGTCCAGTGGTTAAGAATCTGCCTTGTAATGCAAGGGACACGAGTTCAGTCCCTGATTTGGGAGGATCCCATATGCCTAAGAGCACCTAAGCCCGTGAGCCGCAACTACAGAAGCCCGGGTGCCTAGATCCCGGTGCCCCGCAGCAAAAGGAACCACCACGATGAGAAGTCCGTGCACTGCAACCAAGACCTAACACAACCAAACAGAACATAAACTTGCTTTTTCCGCTAAGTCACTTCAGTCGTGTCTGACCCTTTGTGACCCCATGGACTGTAGCCTGCTAGGCTTCTCTGTCCATGAGATTCTCCAGGCCAGAAAACTGGAGTGGGTTGCCGTTTCCTTCTCCAGGGGATCTTCCTGACCCAGGGATCAAACCCATGTCTCTTATGTCTCCTGCATTGGCAGGCAGGTTCTTAGCACTAGCACCACCTGGAAGTGCTATAAAAAAATAAGTAAATCTAAAAATAAAAAGTCGCATGTAGATAGTGCAGCTCTAGTGATGGAGTATGGATAAAAATGGGAAACTGAGAAGTTATTCAGTGGTTTGTACTCAAAAATCAAAGTAAACCTCAGCCACTTTTTTGCCTTTCTCTTTAAAGATCTTAACTCTTTTTAAGTAGTGTTAAAGCTGGCTCACTAGTTGGTGAGGGCACCATCACTATGCAATATACAATCCAAATCCTTGAAACCTGTGATTGGCCAGCAGAAACAACATATATTGTATAGCAATGCTTCTCAAACATCAACGTGCACAGGAATCACCTGGGAGCTTGTTGCGGACAGATTCTGACTTAGTTGGTTGGGGTGGGGGCTGAGGTTTGCATCTCTAACAAGCGCCCAGGTGATGCTGCTGCTGCTGCCCGGGGGGCCACACCTTGACTGGAAAAACTGTAGAGCAGTGATCAGGCTAATAGTGTCTTCCTTACCCCTGGGGGCATTTGGCAACGTCTGGAGATAGTTTTGATTGTCATGACTTGGTGGCAGAGCTGATATTGGCATCTGTTGGGTTAAGTCCAGAAATGGTATTAAGTATTCTACAACGTATTAGACACTGTAATTATCCTGCTCAAAATGGCAATAGTGCCAAGTTTGAGAACCCTCCCTATACAGCCGAGTCTACTTTCCAGGAAGAGGAGGTGGATGGGAGAGTGATGGAGTGGGTCTTCTTGATCTAATAACTGAGTGTGTTCTCTCTCTCTTCTGCTTTTGTATATGCAGGAGCCAACGCCTCAGCCCCAGACCAACTGAGCTTAGCTTTAGCCTGGAACAGAGTCGACATCGCCCGCAGCCAGATCTTTATTTATGGGCAACAGTGGCCGGTAGAGTATATGTCATCACCCCTGAAAAGCACGCTTGCTGGGGCAAGGGTATTTATTTCAGGTATCTGAGAGCGACTCCAGAAACCACTGCTTTATCTTTAGGGTAGAAATATTCCTTTGTAGCGGTCCTCATGCGCGGCTCCCTTTCTTATATTAGGGAAATACTGCCACCTGGTGCTACAACTCCGAATGTTCCAAACATTTCCACCTCTTGCATGGCCTCTGGTAGCAATGTTTAGCTGCAATTAATGCTGTTTCTTTTATATGCCTGAAAATACATATATGAAACAAAATTGTGTTAATTAAAATTAAGAAAGGAGTGGAATTAGCAGTCTGTTTCTGGTTGTTCTGGAGGTTGCTGCCGCCACGTGATGGCACCCCAGGCTGGTGTGGGACCGGGCCACACAACGGGATGCAGAATTTGCAGGCTTCCACGAGCAGGTGCCATCTGGTCCTGGAGGCTGAGCACAGGCCCCCCCCCCCCCGTACCCAAGAACAACACAGAGGCAACCAAAGCTTTATATAACCGTTCTTGGTTTGTTTCCCTCAACTGGGTCTACCAAAAAAACCCTTGGAAAATTGGTCCTTGGCTGGTGTATCCCTGTATCCCCAGGAGACAGCCAGCAGTCTGGAATTTGATTCCTGTGCCTGGAATCACTGAAGGAAAACACCCTGTGTACAGGCCTTTTTCAACCCTTCCTGTGTCCCAGAGAGCTTCTGCCTGGGATTGAAACCCTGGCTTCCTTTAGTGCCAGTGGATTACTAGTGTAGAAAGATTTGTCACAGTCTCTGAGAAATTTTGTGAAAGAAATTAAATAAAACCCTAGTAAACAGACCAAATGACCTAAATAGTTACTGGGTCTCCCTGTAGAAACGGGCAAGATGGAGGCAAGGTAATGATACTTAACTAAAAAAAGAAAAAGAAAAAAAGCAGTCTACTTTCTGGTCTGTTTACTAGATCCCTCTTCTTGAGTCAGCTGAAACTCCAATACTTTGGCCACCTGATGCGGAGAGCTGACTCATTTGAAAAGACCCTGATGCTGGGAAGGATTGAGGGCAGGAGGAGAAGGGGACAACAAAGGATGAGATGGTTGGATGGCATCACCGACTCAATGGACATGGGTTTGGGGGGACTCCGGGAGTTGGTGATGGACAGGGAGACTTGGCGTGCTGCAGTTCATGGGGTTGCAAAGAGTCGGACACGACTGAGTGACTGAGCTGAACTGCACTTCTTGGATCAGTCAGAAATCTAATTTAGAGCCTAAATTAGATGATGAAGGACAATGAAAATGAAGACAGCAAAATACTCACTTTGGCACTTTAGTGGTTTTGTAGAAGTTTGGTTAGAGAGTTGGGAGAGGAAAAGCCCTGTAAACCCTGAACCTTCTCAGAATCTAGAACAAAGAAGAGATTTAGAGGGAAAAAAAGTAGCTTTTAGAGCTAGAAAGCCCTGTGTTTTGTTTGCAAAGACAAGCCCCCAAATACAGGAGAGAGCGTGGGTGTCCCAAAAGTGAAATTGAGATACTCTTGCTAGCATGTTCTTGGAGGTGCTAAAGGTTTACTAGATGTCAAAGACATCCATTTCTAAAGTATTCAGGAAAATGCCAGAAAATTGCATCCTTAAACCCTAGGGCAGACTAACTCAGTGACTTGATTTGCAGGTGGGGTCTCTGGAGCAAGCCATGTTGGATGCCTTAGTTCTGGACAGAGTGGATTTTGTGAAATTACTTATAGAGAATGGAGTAAGCATGCATCGTTTTCTCACCATCTCCAGACTAGAGGAATTGTACAATACGGTAGGACCAAGCTAAGGCACTTTTATTTTCTCTACTTTTTTTGGTTTTACCTTCTCCTGCCCCCAACATGAATGTGAGTCCCTGCCTTCCCCTCCAGATGCATGGATCATTTTCCACAAATGCTCCCTCAGACAACAAACACCAAGTCACCAGAAATCCACTTGTTTTAACTGCTCAGTTGTCAGCATCTAAGAGGCAGAAAGTTACATGATCACCAAAAGGTAATGTTCTCAGGTTCTTATGCAAAACTACAAGGCTCTGGAAATTAGAACATACTTCATTCTGTAAACCCACACAGTGTGTGAGGCAATCAGCAGAGAAGGATTGATTTAACTCCAACCATCAAAGGAGACCAGTTAACTATCCTGCACCATCTTGTTATTCTCAGCACTGTGAAGTTCATTCATTGCAGTATAACAGGATAAAATGTAAAAACTTTTTGTTTGGAGTTACCCAGGAAGATTTTTTTGCTTTGTTTTTATAATGATGTATTAATTCATTCACTGGGGATATCAAGAAGTAATCAAAAGAAAAACTGGTATTTATGAAGTTTTTGAGAGTATTCAGTGAGTTTAGTACATCAGCTCTGAGCTGATACTCACAAAAATCCAATGAAGTTCAAAGAATAGATATTGTTTCCCTCCATTTTACAGATGAAGGAACTGAGGCCAAGAAGAGAATTGGCTTATTCAAGATCTTAAAGTTTCTAAGTAAACAAAGGAGCCAGCATTGAACCCAAACGTCTTTCTCAGAGACCCTCATTTGTCACAGTGCTTCTTTGTCCCACCACTCTCAGCACTAATGAGATGGAGCTTATTGACCTATCCCCAGCCAGAGGTAGGGATTAGCTGCTGCCACCCTGGCTCGATGAGATTCCCACTGCGGAAAGTAGAAAACAGCCCAGCAGAGCGGCCCCACACTTCTCTTTTCTCTACAGTATTTTTTCAGTTCAGCATGCTAAGGCTTTCAGTCCTAATGGGCCAAAATGGCAGAGTGGAAGACCTAGCCTTTGTTCCTCCACAAAGATCAGCAATTAGACAGCTATTCACAACAAAGACAGCTCTAGGAGAGCTCAGGAGTCCAATTAAGAAAACTTCAGCAAAACAGTGGAACAAAAAAAAAATCTGAAAATAACCACCCAAAAAAGAGAAGAACAGCGTCTTTGTGCCTGTATCACCCTGGCCCCTGTGGCTGGCACTGCTCCGTGCCAAGAGCAAGCTCCTCAGCTAGAAGGAGTTCCCGTCTCTGGAAAAGACAGTGGTGAGCCTTTCCAAGCGCCACACAGAGGATTCAGCCTACCCAGAGACCTGCAAATCTGAGACATACTGTGATGGCCAGGAACGCAGTATCAGCCAGGCTGACAACTGAGTGACCACAGTTCCCAGGGACCTGCTCTGTAGAGAACCCTGGCAGCTTTCACTGTGAGAGAAACCAAGGGCCAGCAAAGCCTCCACAGAACCCTCCAGATTTCACTGGTTTTTGCTCTGCAGATACTTGCATTCATAGACACCAGTCACCCGAGCCCCTCACCACACCCTCCCCTCTCAACCCTGCTGGATCCTGGGGTTCACCCCAGTGGCCCAGCCCAGGCCTCTGTGGCTACAGATTTTAAGAACCCAGCCTAGACCCCACAACTGTCCCCCACTACTGTGCACACTCTGAAAGCTAGCACCTCCAGCCAGGTACCCACATACGGCTGAGCTGACAGCCAGCACCACTGCCATGGAAGTACAGGACCCTAGAACTACAAGACCCTGCAGCCACACGAGTGCACGCCAGCAGCCTAGGCTGCATGTGGGCCCGGATTCAGACCTATCACCTGACACTCACCTGCACCTCTAGGCTACCTGCAGCTGGTCCCTCCAGCTGTGTACCTGCACGTCCCAACCCTGCTCCCTTCACTGGCCTCTATTCCCGTGCACACACCCATGGGGAAACCCTGCAGCTACAGGAGTGCATGCCAACAGTCAGAGCCTCCAAGGCTGCTTGTGGGCCCAGCTCCCACCCTATCTTCTGTTACTGGCCTGCCTACTAGGATTGCTTTCAAATAGCTTCTCAGCTGTGCCCCTGCATCCCACTGGCCAGACTTCCGTCGCTGGCCTACACTGGTCTACATGCACTCACAGTAACACCCTGCAGCCACAGTAATGCACGCTGACAGCCGGGGCCCTGCATCTGCCAGCACACCTGCAGTTGGCCCCAGCCCTTGCTGTTAGCCCAGGATTCTGACACTGCGTATATGTTTGCAACTGGCTCCCACCATTATACAGGCACCTGCGGCCGGTCCCCGCAGCCAAATGTGTGCGTGTACAACCGACTCCAGCCACCACTGCTGCCTGTTCTGGCCCCCAGCTGCTAGACCTGTTGAAAAGCCCAGCAGCCCTTGCAGCCTTGCAGAAACATAAGAATAAACAAAGTCTGAAGTTAGGAAAAAGAAGGCAATAACACTGGGCAGAAATAAATGAAAGAGACTAGAAAAACAATTTAAGAGATCAATGAAACAAAGAGTTTATATTTTGAAAAGATAAGTAAAATTGATAATACTTTTGCTAGAATTACCAAGAAAAAAAGAAGACTCAAATAAATAAAATTATAAATGAAAGAGAACACATTACCATTGATACCGCACAGATAGAAAGGATCTCAAGAGACTACTATGGACAATTGTAGGCCAACAAATAGGACAACATAGAAGAAATGGATAAATTCCTAGAAACATACAACCTACTAAGTCCAAGTCACACACACACACACACACACACACAAAAAAGACAGAAAACTTGAACAGATCAGTAATATATAACGAGATTGAATCAGGAATCAAAACCCTCCCAATAAAGAAAAGCTGAGGACCAGATAGCTTCATAGGTGACTTCTACCAAACATTTAAAGAATTAACTCCAATCCGTTTCCAATTCTTCAAAGAATGAAGAGGAGGGAACGCTCCCAAATTTATTTTACATGGCCAGCATTACCATAATTTCAAAGCCAGATAAGGACACTGCAAGAAAAGAAAACTACAGGTCAATATATCTGATGAATATAGATGCAAAATTCCTCAACAAAATACTCGCAAACTAGATTGAAGCACATTAAAAAAATCATATACTATGAGCAAGTAGGATTCATCCCTAGGTGCAAAGATGGTTCAACATGTACAAATTAATAAATGTGATACATTACATTATAGAAAGAAATATACAAACCATATGATCATCTCCATGGATACAGAAAATATATTTGACAGGATTCAACACCTTTTCATGGTAAAAATTCTCAACAAATTAAGTATGAAAGTAATACACCTCAACATTTTAAAGGCCATATATGACAAACCCATATATGCCTTTGAAATTGATGCTTTTGACCTGTGGTGTTGAGGAAGACTATTGAGAGTCCCTTGGACTACAAGCAGATCAAACCAGTCAATCGCAAAGGAAATCAGTCCTAAATATTCATTGGAAGGACTGATGCTGAAGCTGAAACTCCAATACTTTGGCCACCTGATGCAAAGAACTGACTCACTGGAAAAGATCCTGATGCTGGGAAAGATTGAAGGCAGGAGGAGAAGGGGACAGCAGAGGATGAGGTGGTTGGATGGCATCACCAACTCACTGGACATGAGTTTGAGCAAGCTCCAGGAGTTGATGTACAGGGAAGTCTGGTGTGCTGCAGTCCATGGGGTTTCAAAGAGTCAGACACAACGGAGCAACTGAACTGAACTGAACCTTACTCATTAGTGAAAGACCCTCTCTCCCTCTAAGATGAGGAACAAGAACAAGAGTGGTGTCCACTCTTACCACTGCTATTAAACTTGGTACTAGAAGCCCTGGCCAGAGAAATTAGGCCCCAAAAATAAAAAGAAATAAAAATTTTCATCTAAATTGAAAAGAAGTAAAATTTCTCTGCTGATAACAGCATCTTGTATACAGAAAATCCTAAAGACTCCACAAAAAAAAAAAAAAAACTGTTAGAACTAATAAATTCAGTAAAGTTCAGCACAACAAATCAACATACAAAAATCAATTGTACTTACACACTAACAGTGAACTATCTGAAAAAGAAAGAAAATAATTCTGTTTAGCATCAAAAACAATAAAATACTTAGGAATAAACTTAAAGAAGTGAAAGATCTATACATCAAAAACTAAGACACTGATAAAAGAAAGTGAAGGCTCAAATAAGTGGAAAGCTATTTCATGTTCATGTATAGGAAGTGTTAATATTGTTAAAATGTTCATACTACTAAAAACCATCTATAGATTCAATGTAATTGTGATGGCATTTTTCATAGAAAGAGAAAAAAAATCCTAAAATTTGCATGGAACCACAAAAGACCCTGTAGAGCCAAAGCCATCATGAGAAAGAACAAAGGTGGAGACATCACACTTCTTGATTTCAAACTATATCACAAACATACAGTAATCAGAACAGTAGTATTGGCATAAAAATAGACACATAGACCAATGAAACACAAACAAGAGCCCAGCAATAATCCCATGCATATACAGTTAACTAATATTAGACAAGGGAACCAAATGTAGAAAACAATATGGAGGTTCCTCAAAAAAACTGGAGCTGAGGCGTGGGGGAACCAAGAACTTATGGCCAAAGGGTACAAATTTTCAGTTATAAGATGAATGCGTTTCAGGGATCTAATGTATAGCATGGTGACTGTAGTTCACAGTACAATATTGTATATTTTAAACTTACTATGAGATTCAGATCTTTAATGTTCTCACCATAACAACAACAAAATGATTACTGAGTTGAAGAATATGTTAACTCATCTTATTGCCATAGAGGTTTCACAATATATAGGAGCATCAAATCATCACATTGTACTTCTTAAACTTATACAATGTTGCTGCTGCTGCTGCTAAGTCACATCAGTCATGTCCGACTCTACAATGTTACATGTCAGTAAAATTGGGGAGGAAAGAATAATGGGGTTTTCAATAAATAAAAATACAGAATTGAATGACCCTCATATGAATAGAGAATCAAGGGAGGAGGGTGATTTATTTCAACTATTGGAAAGAAGTAAGTAGGAAAGTTATAGATCAAGAAAGGCCAAGCAATTTCATCACTCCAGTCAGTGGTAATCAACTATCCCTGGAGTGCCCTTTTGCAAAGGATTATGGGACAATGGATAGCCTCAGTGAAAGAATAGCTAACATTTATTGAGTGCTATAGTTATATAAACATTTCAATATTTAGTCCTAACAAAAACCCCACCGGATAAGTGGTATTATTATCCTCATTTCAGAGATAATAAGACTGAGACACAGTTAAGCAGATTGTCCATGGTCACAGCTGGTAAGCAGCAGGGCCAGGTTTGGAAACAAGCATTCTGACTCCAGAGTTTGAAGGTTCAATCCCTACACAATACTGCATTCCTCAGCGGAAAAAGAGTTCTGATGAGTATGTCCACCTGAAGGAGCCAGTAGTTGAGGCAGTACACAGGGATTGTCTTGAATACTTGAATGTGTTCCAACAGTGCTTAAGGATTTACCATCACTGTTCAAGATCTTCCAACACAGCCACCAGATTTAGCAAATAAAAATATAGAATTCCCAGTTAGATGTGAATTTAAGAAAACAACAATTTTTAGTATGTCTCAATTATTGCATGAGACATACTCAAGATTATTCATTGTTATTGGTCAAAATGTACAAATTTCCAAATTTGTTTATAAAATAAGTCATGAGAATGTAATATACGACACAGAGACTATAGTTAATAATATTATATTGCATATTTGAAAGTTGCTAAAAAGTAGATCTTTATGGTCCTTAGCACAAGAGAAAAATTGGGAATTATGTATGGCGACAGATACTACAGAGACACTGTAATGATCATTTTGCCATATATACAAATATCAAATCATTTACACTGTATGCCTGAAACTAATATGTTATATGTCAGTTATACCTCTAAAAAAAAAAAGATGAGAAAACATAAAAACAGAAGAAGTTGTAGATCAAAAGATTAAGAGATGTAGTTACATCTAAAACTTTAAATTTGATACATAAAAAATACATGAATACAAAAGAGAACTACCAAATAGACCATCAATAGGACAAAGAAAAAATAGTTCAACATTAAGAATTAATAAAATGAATGAAAGTTAAAACAAATAAAAAGAAATTATTCATCGTCTATCTGGAATTCAGATTTAACTAGGCATCCTCTATTTCATCTGGAGTTCCTATCCTGAAAGACAAGAGGATGGCAAACCACTTACTTCGTTTTAGTCTTACCTTAAGGAGACAAACTTTTTTTTTTTTTTTTTTTTTGCGCAATGGCAGAGTTGAATGTTGTGATGAAGACTGTATGGCCCACAAAGTCTAAGATATTAACCATCTGGCTGTTTACAGAAAAAGTCTGCCAAGTACTGCTTTAGCCAGTTTCTCATTCATTATGTGTAATAAACAAGTTGCAATTGGCAGTGTGCCAAAGTGTAATTCTAAAGCGCTAAATTGGCCCCTGTGTCTCCCCCTGCTCCACAACTGGCCTCTTGAATGATGTTTTGACCCAGCTGTCATCAGAGTTGATGGCCTCTTTTGCATAGTTTGAACCTAGAACCTCAAATGCTTTTTCTTGAGGAGCCACAATCCAAAAACCTGCCCCTGTGTTTATTTAGAAAAGACAGGTACAACTGAGCAACTAGAACAAGGTTCATCTTGATGAACCGCCCCTCCACCAGCCAAAACCCTTCCCTCCAGACCCTTCTTTCCTTGCCAATGTGAGCCCCTGACTAGCAAAACCATTTGATTCTTCTTTATTGTTTTCAGAGACATGGGCCCTCAAACACATTGTACCACTTGGTCAGGGATGTCAAAAAGGTAAGGACCCTCCGGACTGAGGGTCGGAGGCCCCGTCTTGACTGCTTCCTGTGATTAGACAGTGCCCGCTTTGCATGAGCTGCCGGAGTATTCCTGTCCCTGTCAGAACCCCCTCATTTCTGGCCATGGCGTGCGCGTTTGTCTTTTAACTCTCTGACGTCTCTGCTTATGATGCAGCTGCAGTTTTAGTGCCGCTCTCTGTGGTTTTAGATGCTTTCATCGGACATAATGCTTTTGGATAGTGGAACTCTAGGCTTTCCCCCTATGCTGTGTGGATTTATGCCATTACCTGTATTTTTCCATGTGCTCCTCACTGTTTGGGGAGCTCATTTCCATGTCATCCAACCGCCCATGAAAGGCTTATTTATTTACTAGCTCCTGATACAGTGTATTACTGCCACTTCTAGTATGACACAGAGCATGGTATGCATAGCTCAAAAAATCTCAGAAAAACAGAGACTACAATACAAATATACCTTCCATTCTGCTGACACTTTATTTTCTCTAATATATTTTTTCACATTCATCATCCAGTTTGATGTGGGGTGGGGTGGGGGAGTCAATTGGTTTGGGTCTAGTAGGTTTATTCCCAATTTAGATATGAGGTTGAAACACAAGGAGGTGAGAACTATCTTGAGTGGTTAGTAGGGAGCTAGAATTAGAACTCAGATCCTTTAATCATCATCATTATTATTATTATTAAGTAATGGTACCTCGGGTTTAGTGATGACTAAGTGTATGACATTAATCTGAGCTTTCTATGTGTCTTAGCTCACTTCATCTTCACAAAAATTATATGAAGTAATTATTTTACTATTATTATTTTTATTGTATAGTGTTATCCCCATTTATAGATGAAAAAAGTGAGGCATAGGGAGGTTACATTTAATCCTAACCAGGTGGTTGTTCTTTTGCCCTATACAAACTCTTTTCAAGGCAGCTTCAATTCTGAACCCTTGGGTGGGTTCCCAGAAAATGATGTTTTCATTCCAAAAGTTAAAAATAGATGGTGGCACTTCCCCTACCCGATATACATGCACCGACACAAACACACACACACGTATACCCACCTACCAGTTGGTCGCAATTCTTTGCCAAAGTCCACAGGACATTCTCAGAAAAATCTATGAAGTGAGGTAAAAAAATAAGAGTACTACGCCTTCATCTCATGGGAATTCATAGGCTAGAACTACCCTTTAGGTGTCCTGTAGTCACTTACTAATTTTTCCTTTGAAAGGCCAAGCAAAGGCCCTGGGGCTACTTATAATATACTATTAGCCAGTTGGACTTTGCTAGTAACGAGTAAAGGGTACAAAAAGCTTTCTTCTGCTGGCCCTTAGAAACTTTCCTCTCACCTCCACGCAATCCTACTGAAAAATTTCTCATCTGTGTGAGTGAGTGAAGCCTGTAGTTCCTTCAAAGCAAGGGAAATAGAGGCTATGCCATCTGTACATTTCACCGAGATCACACCTTTCCATGGCTTGCCCCATTTCAAGCCATAAGCGTACCTGCCCTCAACAAACCCATTTCTCTCTTCCTCAAGTCTTCCTATTTAGTTTAATTTATCTTAGCTTAAAATTGCCTGGAAACTAAACAGAGGGAAGTATCTCAGAAGATAAGGTGTAAATACCTAGCATGTATTCTTTGTCAAGGTACTTGTTACTCATGTTCAATAAAATGTTTTAGTTTTTCTGAAATTATAAAAATTAAAATATCCCCCTTACCTTAATCTAGTCTGTGTCCCTGAAGGAATTATGAGGCTTTCTGAAGAAACAGCTGTGCATTTGTCCTTCTGGCCCAGTCACTGGCCAGTCCAGGCCTTCGAAGTTGCTCACCTGCCTCCATCACCCAGTTTGATTTTCAGACATTTTTACAGTTAGGTTCTACTGAATCTAAATGATCAAAACCCCTCCTAATAGGTTCTCTTCCTCTTTCTTTTTCCTGAAATCCTATCAATTGCCTCTTACATTTGCTTACATTTTGTAGAAGACATGTAGAGTGTTTTTAAGGTATGGTTTTATTTAACTTCTTAGCTAAAGGTGTACCTCAAAAATAATATAAACTCACTAGAAAGGACAGGATGGAATTTGGGAGGAAGGACTATCAGCTAACAGCAGTTTTATTTCTCTTTCAAATGTGATCCCAATACCAGAGCAAGAATATAGTTATATAAGGATTCATTTATTTACTAATTTAGTAATGCGGAAAATATGATAACAGATCACTCAGGATAGTACTGAACTTACTTAGGAAAAATTTTTCTTGAGAAAAAGAGACTGCCAGTGTGGCTGGAAGAAATGAAAGCCTTTGTTTAGTTTCTTCCCTTGGGAAGAAATAGGGGCAGGAAATGCAGACTCCATTTATTTCTATGATAAAGGTGAGTGTCTGACTACTGAAAAGCAAGGAAGAATCACAATGGTAGTCAAAGGAGCTTGCAGTGTCTACGTTTTATGGGTGAAAGGAGCTAAAAATGAGGTTTTTCTGTTTGTGTTTTTTTTAAGAAGTGAATGAGAAAGAAATTAATATTGGTGTGTATCTTCTTCAGAAGGTTTCAGATGACTTCCAGCAATTAATGCCAATAAGATATGCAAAATCTACAAAGACTAGGATTAAAATGCTAAGAAAATCTTGATCAGTTCAAACAATTTTTAAAATTAAGGAACATAATAATCAGCATATGCTTGTGCTTTACAATAATAGGACTTTATGTACATATTGGTTGATTTAATCTATTATCACAAAAAATCAGTAAGTGATAAATACAAAATGAATGCTGTTCAAAAGTTAGAAACACAGCCTGGACCTTAAACATAATGTTTGATAATATGTCTATTAAATGTAAATAACACTTATGAACCCAGAGAATACATTTAGGAATTATCATACCATCATTAAGTTAAACAGGATATCTCCAAGTCCAGCTATCCTTTGAAACCAACAGAATTGAGCATGGCGAATTTGAAGCTAGTTTCAAAATCTCAAATTACTTCTATCAAGAGAGCAATCTAAGAGTAGTGAAGTAGAGTTAGTATTCCACATCAACCAGAAATTAAAATGATACCAGCCAACCTAGTTCCCTGAGCCATTTTCGTGCATAATCCATTGGATGTACCAGTGCTTTCATATTAAACCAGAGTGGCCTGAGTCTGTCTGCTTTTCCATGAAATCTAACTTGCTGTTTTAGTAGCTGTCTGCTCAGTTTGTGCCTCTGTATGTTTTAAAGGTAGTTTTTCTTTCTTAAATGTACTAATACTTCAGATTACCTGAATTATCCCTCCCCATAAAGAAGGGTGATATTTGAACATTATATAGGAAGAGTGGTGAAATTATGATAATAAAATTCATCTATATGGGAATCAAGACCCAGCGCTTTGCAGGATTTTAAAGCAAAAGCATTTCAGACACACTTTGGTAAAGAAAGGATGTTTTCATAACTTCATCTGCTAAGTTTATGCAAATTTACCAAAGCATTCTTAATTTTTAAGAGAATGGTTGCCCAGTTTACTGCCATGCCACATATTGAGGGAGTGTCCTCTTTTCCCATGAATTTTCACCAGGATGGTCTTTTCCCCATTCTCCCTTATTAAATCTGACAACCAGCTGTCATTTTATACCTTGCATATATCAGAAGGAAACAGTCTTCTTTGAAGGCTCGTTATGAAAGAAAAAAAGAAAAAAGTTTCCTAAGCAGCTGAAATCTGATAGTGATATCATGAACTGACATCTGAAAAACAGAGTGCATTTAGAAAAGCATATCTAATAAATGAATTCAAATTATTCTTTTAATTAAAAGACATCCTTAGGCATGGCACGGATTAAAATTTAGCTTCAGAGTCGTGGCTCCTGGCATGAAAAAAGACATTTTCCAGTTGTCAAATTTACCTATCCATGGATCAAAACCTCTCTATTTTACTCTCTGGATCAAATTATTTGAATCCTATGGCTTGCTATGTGTTGTTAAGGCATGAAATGGGAAATAAGTGTTCAGGTTTTACCAGTTATCAAAGTAATTACCAAAAAGGGGGAACAGGGAATAACAGAAACAGCAGGCAGAATGAATATTACTCCAGTATATCGACTTCCTGTTTGAAAAGGAACCGTGCAAAGGAAGACTCCTCCAGAGGTTTTTGGACATTACCTGTGGAATACGAGGTGGCATTTTTTCTACTTTTTTTTTTTTTTCAAAAAGGAAGTGGATGTTATGAGTACAACCGCATCCCTACCTAACCATTTACCCTCCCTTTTCTCTAAGCCTCCATCTCTACTAACCAAATTCCAGGGATTATTGGAAACTGCATCAACTCTGCAAGCTCTGGACAGGTCTTTGCCCAGTGACCTGGCAGCAGAGATATAAGAGCAGCCTGCCAGGTAGTGATCAAACAACTGAACCTTTAGAAATAAGACCTTGAAGTAATTGTGTCCGCATTGCCTGTTTGCAAAGCGCAAACAGAACCAAGTACCGAGCGATCCCTCCTTGCCTTGAGCTAGGTGACCATCGCCCTCTTGTGGTCAGACAGAATTCAGGCTAGCTCCTTTCAGGCCATCACTCAAAGCTCAGTAACTCAGAATAGTCACAGAATCTTTTCCCCTGCTTCAGACCAGACTGTACAAAAATCACTATGAAATAATCAAGCTTTATATAAGAAGTCTTTAGGAAAAGTAGATTCCATCACCTTTTTTGGTAGTAAGTAAACCTATCAGCCCTTTATGAATTTGCATAAAATTCTGCAGAACATCACCAATGTTTATAGAACATTTGCAAAAAAATGTTGTCCCTTAAAACTTTTTATTTATTTTGAATTTTACCATTATCTCTTTCCTGACAACCCACTCTTACATCTCAAAAGCATAAATATTATCATTCAGTATTGGTCTTCAGGCAATATTGATTCTTGTTCTTAGACTTCAAACTGATGTTCACACATGGTTTCTCGAAAGAAAATATATAGGTAGTAGGCTCACTATTACCCACATTTTAAATTTAGAAAATTGTTACAAGGTTTTAAAATAGGCACAAATTCATAGACTCACTATGATTGTTGTTCAGTCACATTACAATAAACCTTTGTGGCCTTAGAACCCGGGGGGGGGGGGGGGGTCCTGAAACCTGGCATTTGGGCATTACAGACCAAAAAGGACATGGAGTTCAGCCCCTTTTACTGGGAAGAAAACTGAGGCCTTGAGGGAAAGTGGATGATTTGTGAAGGATGGACAGAATCCAGAGCAGCTGACACACAGCCAGCACTCTTTCCCCTGCCAGCCTCACAGTGCCAAGGAAAACAGCACAGATGGGGTGAGCCTCCTCTGCAAGTCACCCCTGTAGGAGCCAAATGCAGAGGCGATGAGGCTGACCCACGCATGCCCAAAGCAGCTCTGGGGCGCTGCTAATAATAGCCTCGCATGACTGTCCAGTAAGAGCCAGACAATATGGAAACTGCCCAAAATAATGGAGGAAAAGGGTTGCACAGGTAATATTCTTAAATTCAGTTTAGCACTTATGGAAAAGACAATACATGATAAGTTACTAGCTTAAATCTTTCTCTAAGTTCTGTTTTAAAGGAACCAGATGATTTGGTCTTTCTTGATAGCCTGAGTGGGAATGTTACTGAGAATATAATACTGAAGAACCCCAAATTGAGACTTGACCCCAAATACATTGATTAATTTCAATGTTTTACTTATTCACATTTTTACCCTTCCTCCCCCAAAATATCTTGAATGCCTACCATACACCAGGCATTGGGAATGTATAAGACAATTAAAAATAGGGAGTTACAGGTTTGATGGTAGGATACAGTTGGCCGCCTCGGATTTTGAATCCCTTTCAGATGATTGCTCTTGCCCACAGGAAAGCTGAGTAAGGATAACTGAGACCCACCTTCATAAGCTAATTTCCTAGTGACAGTGATTATCTTCGTACACTTTGAATTTCCCAATGCTGCTGTGTAGCCCCATCTGAACTTTATGTTGTAGACTCAGAATCACCTGGACGGCTCATGAAGTGCATAGCATCTCATACTTGAAGCAGGGCAGGGTCCAGACCTTTGCAGTGTCACCACATTTCCCGGGGGGTGCAGATGCCACAAGGCTAGAAAACCACCACTACTGCTATGAGCCATTTCCATGAAATGGCAGGAATTTCACGTAGTATTCTGAATGGATCCCCCATTAAAGACAAATCCCAAAGTGGATGCAGTCCTCTGGTCCCTCCAAAATATATCTAAGAACACAGTGTTCCAGGCTTCCTACACATGTGGTACCTCTACCATTCATGGTACAGAGCACACTTCTGCACCGGGGAACTAAATCTTTCAGATATGAGATGTGATCAGCTGTACCCTTTGGAACTCACTGTGAGCTCAGAATTTCCCACAAACAGCTAATTCTTCCATCACCTAACAAAGCAAAGATTTTCCTCAGGCTACACAGAGGTCCCTTTTGAAGCAGAAACCAATAATGAGGAGATAATAATAATAACTCTTCTGTTTTTGCATCTATATGTACAACATTAAACTTACACCATAGCTCTAGATCTTTAAGAAGCACTATTCTCTGAAAGAAAATATGAAAAACCTCTTTAATTTTGGAGAAATAAATATTCTGTTGATAAAACTTCTCTTATCTCATCCCTCTTTCTTCTTTAAACACAAGTGATGTTCAGGAAAGTCTTTGTCATAACATCCATCATGCTCTCCTTTTATTTAAAAGGTGCCAATTTTAAAAAAATTGTTAATAGAAGTTTTGTATAAAGGATATTCAAGCTCTCAGCATATTTCACCTGATGCAGTCCCTGGTAATAACAACTACTTTCTGGAAGGAGTCTTCACTTAGTGAGCAGGAAGAAATAAATGATCAGCCAGAGGCCGATAACAGGCCTGAGGATGAGGCAGAGCAGTGAGGGGGTCTGGGGGAGCATCTGGGAACCTAGTTCCTTAGTGGCTGGGAGTGGTAGAATTTGCCATTTGTGTTTCTTTCTGCTACACTGGTGTTTTTTTCTCCCCAGCTGAAGACTTGAATAAATATTTTGATTTTCTGTTATTGCCGACGATTACTGCATCTTCTTATTTAACTTATGTCTTCTTTCCAAGCGAGAATATCCAGGTTTCGGTTGGATCTATTTTAAGGTGAATTGATTAACCAGCATAATAATACATTCATATGTTTCTTTTGAATTATTATTATTATTATTTTAGTCTAAAATAGTTGCAGAACACACGGAGTAGAATCCCCAGTAAACCCCGCTGTCTCTCGGATGTGTGTGTGTTCCGTTCTTCCTTGGTAGGGGAACCTGCCACCAGACTACAGAATCAGCCTGATCGATATTGGCCTGGTGATCGAGTACCTGATGGGAGGGGCTTATCGCTGCAACTACACGCGCAAGCGCTTCCGGACGCTCTACCACAATCTCTTTGGCCCAAAGAGGGTGAGGCTGGCTGCAATTCCATTTCCTGGATTCTGGGGAGGTCTAGGATGCAGTAGATTTGGAGTGTGGCTGCTTCCTTGTCTGCAACGGGGAAATCAGATAAGAAGGCAGCTGTCCTGCCTCTTCCCTCTGCCATCAAATCTGTTTAAAAAAGAAAAGGAAAAAAATGTACTGAGCGTTACACTCTCTTTTCTTCACTAGGTCCAATTCAAATCAGAAACTGGCATTGAAAGTGAACCTTTTTTAGCTTTTATACATGCTGTGAATTGAGATGACATGCTCAACTTCTAAATAAGTCTTTTGGTACATTAAAAAACTCATTTTTTTCATTTAAAAAAGTAAACCTTAATGATCAGCAAATAGTAATTATATTCAAATAATCAGATGGTAAAGAATCCTTCTGCAATGTGGGAGACCTGGCCTCCATCCCCGAGGAGGGGGGCGTGGCAACCCACTCCAGTATTCTTGCCTGGAGAATCCGCATGGACAGAGGAGCCTGGCAGGCTACAGTCCATGGGGTCACAAAGAGTCGGATACGACTAAGCACAGCACACAGCATAATCTTATCTACTTTATCAGCAAAATCTTGGGATCTATCTATACCTGTAAAAATTACTGAGGACGCCCCCCAAAGCTTTTCATCTATATGAGTTCTATTTAGCTCTATAATTTGCTGCGATGCCTTCTCTTCCATCTTGGTCTGCACCTGTTTTGCACATTCCCAGTGCGACCAGTGGTGCTGCTATGTGTGCTTACCCTTTCCATGCCCTTTGACCTCAACAAACGTCCCTCTGGCCCCATTCACCCTTGCTCTACTGGTCAGCAGCAACGAGAGATGGCCAGCATGAATCATCTCAACATGTAGTATTTCTGAATAATACCCCAAGTCTCCATATTACAGCGGTCTTTCAGAGGTTTGAGGAGCATCTCATCGTTTGATTGAATGTCTCATTGTTCCTTCAAGTGCTTGATGTCTAAGAGATGTCGACCAAGCTGGATGGTTTTAGGAAGATGGAAAAAAATCTTGGTCTATAAAAGAGATTATAAACCGGCAGGGTCTACCCTTTAGGCAATCTCATTCTACCTCTCCAGTTTCCTAATTTTCTGTAATTCACCAAAGCCACTAAATTTGTAATTCTCTTAGAATTTCCGTAAAGAGCTTCCCCTGTGGTGTTTTATTTAGTGAAATGAATAAAAGCTATATGGTACAATAGATTTGTTCCATTACCTGTTCAAGATACATTAGGATTCTTACCTCTATAAAGAAAGATCTAACTTTGTGCATAAAATTTTTTTAACAGCCCAAAGCCTTGAAACTGTTAGGAATGGAGGTAAGTGTTTGTTCAAATTATTAGTGTCAATTATTTATTCTCTTTATTACATGTTTTATATATATATGTGTGTATATATATATATACATATATATATATAAGTTCATTCCAGTGGTAGGACTTAGTACATGATTCTAAAATAAGGAAGTGACATTTTTCCCAGTGACAAGGGGGTGGGTCACAGTAGCTTTGAAAATTCTATCATGAGGTTATATTCAAACAAAAATAAATCACATTTGAAATACTAACTTAAAAACCAAGACAGCACATAGGTTCCAGTAAGTGAAATCTACTCATGGGTGCTTACAAATGGCAACAGACCCAAAGGGCAGAAATTCTTCACAAATGCATCTAATGAAGTATGCAGAAACTCAAGATAGAGTATCTGTCTCGCATCTTCCGTTCATGTGGTTATTATCCTATATCCAGTTGCAAGTATAGGGTGTCCTTGTCCTTTCAGCAGAAAGGGTAATGCTGTCCATCACGAGGTACAAATGATCCTACCTGTAGAGGAAAAGAATAGATGAAAGTTTTGTTTTGTTTTTTAAAAAGCCCACTGAAAAAGACTTGTTTAAAATTAAAGTCTAACACTGACTTGTTCTCATAGGACTGTGCTTTTGCATTTATTATACCTTGTTTTAAAGTTGGGCATGCATGAACTTGTGAGTTCTTTTAGAATAGAAGCTAGGATAGTTCGTTTCTTTCTGTAGCTATCCCAGGGCTGGGCAGGTAGTAGATACACAGGAACTACTTACTGAATTGATTGGATTCATTTCTAACTCCATCTCTATGTTTTTTCCCCTAAAATCACAGGATGATGTTCCTTTGAGGCGAGGAAGAAAGACAACCAAGAAGCGTGAAGAAGAGGTGGACATTGACTTGGATGACCCTGAGATCAACCACTTCCCTTTCCCGTTTCATGAACTGATGGTGTGGGCCGTCCTGATGAAGCGGCAGAAGATGGCCCTGTTCTTCTGGCAGCATGGCGAGGAGGCCATGGCCAAGGCCCTGGTGGCCTGTAAGCTCTGCAAAGCCATGGCCCATGAGGCTTCTGAGAACGACATGGTAGACGACATCTCTCAGGAGCTGAACCACAACTCCAGGTTGGACAGTCCAGCAAATGGGGTGGTCAGGGGCAGAGAAGGGAAGATGGGCCCCAAATACTGGTTGTCTGAGCTATCCAGTACTTTAAGAGGAGGCAGTGTCCACCTGAAGGTGCACACAGAAGCTGGACACAGACAGTTAACATCTAGGGTACACAGTGCTAGATACAGAGGTACACACAGATGCGTAGATTTTGTTTCACCCACTCAACTGCCCCAAGAGGTAAGTCCCCTTAAAATACATACTTTACACCTACAGAAAATGAGACTGAGAATTTATGTCACTCGTCCAAGACCACACACTTGTGGTTGACGAGGCTTAACTATGAACTGAGGTCTGTTGCATTTAAGAAGCTATACTGTACTCTGATTTGTGGATCTGCCTCACCCCATATGCCTTGAATTCGGGGCCCTGAGTGCAGGGATCATGACTAATTTGACTTACACCCCCATTTCTAAACTCCATATCTGGCACACAGTGGATTCTTAATGGTGTTGGCTGGGTGAATGAATGAACAGACTAGACCCCATAAGGAAAAACTAAACCACACATGGCCTGGTCACTGGGTTGCCACTTTCATCATCTAAGTCTCCAAGAGCGCCAAAAGACAGCTCCTCACGTTCTCTCTTTCAGGGACTTTGGCCAGCTGGCCGTGGAGCTCCTGGACCAGTCCTACAAGCAGGATGAGCAGCTGGCCATGAAACTGCTGACGTATGAACTGAAGAACTGGAGCAATGCCACGTGCCTACAGCTTGCGGTAGCTGCCAAGCACCGCGACTTCATCGCACACACGTGTAGCCAGATGTTGCTCACAGACATGTGGATGGGTCGGCTCCGGATGCGCAAGAACTCTGGCCTCAAGGTCAGTGCTCCCAGGAGGCTCTGTTGGCTTTGAAGACCAGGGAGTTGGTGGGAGTTTCCCAAGCCAAATCTGCAATGGTAGTAGGGATCCTCTTAACTTGGGAGAGGACTTCTAAGCCCCAACTATGAATCAGAATCTTCTGTATAATGGAGCTTTTTTAAAATATGGAAATGAGGGCCAAGCCCAAATTTTGCTAAATCAGAACATCTAGGTGGGACTTCCTGCCAGTCCAGTGGTTGGGACTCCACGCTTCCACTGCAGGGGGCACAGGTTTGATCCCTTGTCAGGAAACTAAGATCCCGCCTGCCGTGTGGCCAGACCAAGAGGAAAAAACAAAAGAAGAGCCTCTGGAGATGGTATGCATAGACAGTAATACTTCTCAGAAGACCCAAAGGTGACGGTCACACACAGGTACCATAGGAGGTACCATTTGCTCTGTCACAAGCCATGCTACACCAGGAGAAACCTACCTAGACAACCTTTTACCTCCATGCAAGCCTGAACACCTTGGCCCTCCCTTGGCACCGTGTCATAAAGAGACACTGGCTCTTATCAGCTAAACTTAAGAAATTTTTTAAATGAAATAAAAAATAAGATAGATTTATATGTAAAGATGTTGCCAGATAATCCTGATCTATTCTTCAGTGAAGAAAAACAAGTTGCAGACCAATATGCAGCCTAAGACCATATTTTGTTGTTTTTTAAAGTGCATGTACATGTATAGTTCTATCCGTATAACTTCATATTTTTAAAAAACAAAAAGGATACACAGTAAACTTTTTGTAGTGCTTATCCCTGGGGTTGAAAATACAAGAAATAGGATAATCAGTGGCTTTTGACTTTTTAATGTTTTCTTCTGTGTTTTACAAGGAAAACATTAAACTGAAAGAGTTTTTTAAAAGACAAAATGGGGAAAGGAGGAGATTGAAAGAATGTTTAAAAATGCTTTATTTTTTAGTTTGTAGCTGTTGCAACTGAAACCAGCCAGGCTCTTATTTACCTAGAACAACCTGAGCTAGGTGACTCTGAGGTCAGCCCACAGCAAAAGGGCCACCAGACCAGACCAGTCTGCTGATGCCACCCTGATGGAGCCAGCACCTCTCCCCCACTCCACCCTGTCTGTGGGCTCCCGGCCCAGAGTCACAGAAGGGTTCCATGAAGTGGGTCATGGGCGTTCCAGCACCATACTGCAAACAGTGCCAAAACTGGCTCTCAGCTCTGAGGACAGGGTGTCATGTCCCCTGAAGGCTGCCAGGCCTGCCATCTGAGCCTTCCCAGGCCTGCCAGGCACCCTGAGGCAGGGCCCCGACTCTCCCCTTCCCCTTAGCTGCTCTCGGGCCCCTGGGCACTGAAGCGCAGGCTGTCCTTGCCTCCTTACTTGAGGATCAGTTTTACTTGCCCTTCATGACCTCTCTTAGCCCGTCACGTTGGTACACTTTCTTCAAGGCGGGTTGTACTCAGAAGCTTGTACATAAACCATTTTGGGATTGAGGGGAGAGATGGGGGAAGATTTAGGGAGCACAAATCAGGTGTCAGAAACTTGGTCCCGGGAAACAGTGAGGTTCTGGATCTCTGATGTGGCTGGTAGTGAAACACAGTCGGGGGCCTCCTGGGGCCTGGTGCCGGGGCTTCTCATAGTGACACAGAGCCCGTGTATGCATGTATACATTATGTATGTGTGCGAGTGTGTGTATATGTGTGTGTGTTTCTGCTGGATAATCCGAAATGCTGAGGGATGCTAAAATGAATAACATGTTTTCTTACACAGATTTTCTTGAGGTCAACTTAGGACAGTATTTTTTACAGAGATAACCAGATGATACATAATCAATTCCACTTGGCATATTAGTAAATAAATGCCAGTGGACATACATATGAATTGATTTCACAAAGCTAAGTGCTATCACGTGACTAACTGGGAATCTGAATTTTTTTCCTGTATTTGTCTTGGGTAGGGTCTTTTCCCTCAGTTTCCCCTGTGCAAAGTAGGTGTTAATTGGGTAAGATGTATTTGAGTAAGATGCTTTGTCTTGCCAAAATCAGACTGAGCTACTGTGAGTTAACAGTTAACAGCTCCCAGTCATGTGGACCGAAGGAACTCTCTTAGCGTGGATGTACTTAGTTATTCAGATATGCAGGTCCTCACTCTGGGCACACCCAACACTCCTACACCCACACATGCACACAAATACAGACCCCACACCCCAGGCTTCTGATTCTAAGCAACCACCCTTATCTTAATCCTTTAAATGTGATTATTATTATTATCATTATTATTGCTTTAGGTAATTCTGGGAATTCTACTTCCTCCTTCAATTCTCAGCTTGGAGTTCAAGAACAAAGACGACATGCCTTATATGACTCAGGCCCAGGAAATCCACCTCCAAGAGAAGGAGCAGGAAGAACCAGAGAAGCCCACGAAGGAGAAAGACGAAGAGGACATGGAACTGACAGTAAGAAAAACTACGCAGTTATTGCAGGAGGGGAGAACCGCTCACCCACCTCTCCCGTGGATATGACTTGAGACTTAGCAACTCTTGAGGTCACCTTCCCACCAGTTACTTCCATTTAAGTATTGAGACCAGGGTATTATAAAAGTGTCTTCTCGGGGACTTCCTTTCTGGTTCAACAGCAGGTTCAATCCCTGGTTGGGGAACTCAGATCCCACATGCTGTGTGCTATGCAGCCCCCACCCCCCAAAAAACAGTGTCCTCTCTATGTACAAGTAACTAAAGGGTCTAATTCTAATCCTTTGGCCAGGATAAGTGGCACTCAACAACCCAGTGAAATTCAAAAGCAAGACAGTCTGAATCTTCCAACTAGGCGATACTTTATAAACAACCAGGTGATGTGGCAGTCTTAGCACATGAAGAGGAAAGGGAGTCTGATTTGGGAGCAGTCAGCTCCTCTGAACTGAAACTGTTGTGCTGATCAGAAGCTAAGCCTTTATCTGTCTTCGAGGTCAGGCTCACAAATGCAGGACTAATTGAATTTTGAGGTTTGTATGGAAGGCTTTTATTAGCTCTTCCTGGTATAATTATAGAGCATGGATCCTTTGTTCTGTAGGCAGATTGGGGGCAGCTGGGCATGGGACAGCTTCCCACAACTCTAACTGGAGAGCAGTGTGACTGCCACTGGGTTGTACTCAAAGTCTAAAAATATCACAGGCTGTTAAAGGGACAAACAAGGCTTCAGAGCTTTGGTGACATAAGGCAACAACTCCTTAGAACTTCCTGGATATCCCCCATCACTCTGACCGGTGACGGTGATGAGCCAGAAGAAGTTGCCTGGGGAGAAACTAACTGGTTTGCTCAGGTGACAAAAGGCCTTTGCATTATTATTGTAATGGGAACACCCTGTGAGTTGTTTTTCCTCCAGATAAATACCATTTCCTTCCAGCAGGTCTTTCTTAAAGATCTATTTACAGGCACATTCCCAGCCCCAAGTATAACAGTGTATAAGCATCAAACCACAGCTTTTCACTCACTGAGTTGAAGTCCAGTGTTTGCTTTCAGTTTCAGGATCCTTCTATAAATCAGTTGAGGCATCTGCTTCCCTCTATGTTAGGATCAAATGACTGTCTTCCCTCAAGGTCTGACCTTAATTTTGGCCTCTGAACCCCTTCAAGTATAGGAAACCATATTTTGATCATTAGCAGAAACATTGGTGGTAGTTAATATCAGATCTTTATTAAATACTTCAGCAGAATCCTGCCCCATCACCTACTCACTGTAGGACCTCAGGCACAGTTTCTTAACCTCTAATATGAGAATAATAACATTATTATTATTATTATTATTATCAATAGCTCACAGGTACATGTAAACAATGTGAAAAGCTTACATATAACTAATGTATACTTGTGCCTACCACGAGATAAATGTTTGTTAATGTTGTTATAATGGTGTTCAATGCTTTACTTACACTTACTCATGGAATCCTCAAAGCAAGTTCGCAAGGTAGGTACTATTGTTATACCATTTTACAGATGAGGAAGCTGAGATTCAAGATAAGTTAAGTGGCCTGAGGTTATCCACCTAATTAGTTCCAAAGCCAGGATTAGAACCCAGACATGCAGACTCCACTGGCCACACTTTTAACTGATAAAGCTAAGGGATGCAAGGAGTTTCTTCCTATCCGCAAATGTAGGAGCTCAGCTGGTTTGGTCCGCCATGTAGTAAAGAGAATCCAATAGGGATGCATGGGCCTCCTATGTCAAGTTTGACGTGGCCTTGACTTTGGTGTACATCCTAGGAGGGCTCAAATTAGGAAACTAGGAAGGTAGTCAGAAGCTAAAGCAGTATTCTCTCTGGTTGGGTCTCAAGGAGGAAAACAGAGAGGCAGCTCCCTCTCCTGCTCCATTCAGACTTTCGAGGGTCTGATGTTTCAAGAAGCCACAATGAAAGGTGCATCTCTGGACTGAGAGCAAATTCTGCTTCCCAGAGAAGAGCCCCTGCTGTTGACTACTGAGAACCCAAGTAGAAGGCACCACAGTAGCATTAGTGCCTGAGCTGATTCTCCACAGGCTAAAACAGCAGGGAGAATGGGAGGAAGGGACTAATGGGCCGGCAAAATCAGAGCTGGACAGCACCTTTTTTAATGTGGTGCTTCTTTAGACCCCAATGACAAGTTCTGTTACTGCTGGAGCATTGGTCTCAGCTCACTCTGAACAGAATTGGAAAATGCAACTTGTTGACAACTCCACTCCCTTCATAGGACTGATATTTGAGCTGCTGTGTTAAACCGATATATCCTCTCTTGGAATAGAACATTTTCCCTTGGCCCTTCCAAAGTTGTACATGAAATATCAGCCTCAGTTTGCTTCAGTTTAGTAGCCTTCAATAGCTTAGTTCACCTCAAAGGATCTTTCCCAGACTTGACATCTGTGTCCAGCCAGCAAAGATTCTGAAATCCATGTTGTGCAGTCTTGTCTGAATTCGACCCTGTTGCAATCTGCTTTAAGAAATGTAGCCAAAGGAAATGTTTGACTACTGGAAAAAGAAATCAACAAAATCAGCAAGTTAAGCTGCTTAGGCTGGAATTAATGAAATGCCAAAAGTGCTTTACTTAAACCATGAAGGACAAGCCTCTTAGAAGTGTACTCACTTTGAAATACTTTTGACTATTTAAGGCAAGATAGATTGTTCTGTTTTTCTTTTTGTTTTACCTGCCTTGCCAGTGTCTTGAATTTTGCCCAATGAAGTCTCAGTACATCCAGAGACCAAGGGCATTGTTGCAACTGTTGAAAAAGCCACTGTCCCTGGCGTTTACCCCAAGATGCTATTCTCTGAGATGCCTAAAACCCTCCAGGCTGCATTTACTCTCATCTAAGTGTCTACCAAAAGGATCCTGTAGCTTTGAGCATATAAATAAACAGAAGTAGGATAATTGTGTTACACAGATTATAAATTATAGAAGGCAAATATCATGTACCTTTAGAGTTTCTTGAGGTTAATGATCAATATTTATAGAACCCTATGGCTCTCTGGTATCTATCATGAAGCTCACTGATCAAAATAAATACCTAGACAGGCCATAGTATGGAGTCTTACTTATTCATTAGTTCAAGGTACTTTTCCAGCCAGAGGGTCAATAAAGGAATGGAAATTACCCTCTCCTGTAATTCTCTGGTTACAGGTAAACCGTTTGTGATTGTTACGTATTTAAGTAAGGTGAATATTTGAGGTAATGACAGAAATAGTTGAAACTAACATTTCATATTGTGGGTAAGGTGGTTTGAAGCCAGACTCACCTGTTGGTTGTCTCTGTTACCGACTTCAGGGTAAATAACTTTGGTGATTAGATCTTCAACTTTAAACCATTATTCCTAGTTCTTTTTCTTCTCCCAAGCCCTTGTCAGTCTGAGTGGTTGTAAGATTCTACCCTTTTCTCACACTTAATAAAAATTTCCTCTGCCAAACATTGTAGAACTAACCTTGCTTAGAACAACACAGAAAGAATTAAAGCCAAGAAATTATGGTGTAATAGACCCCTAATAACACACCTTTTTCTGGTGAGATATCCCAACTAGATCATTTCAGTCAAGAGAATCTGAGAAAGTCTAGTTCACTTTAAAGACCAGCTAATATTTACTGAGGCTTCCCTGATGGCTCAGTGGTAAAGAATCTGCCTGCCAATGCAAGAGATGTGGATTGGATCCCCAAGAGATGTGGACTGGGTCGAGAAGATCCCCTGGAGAAGGGAATAGCCACCCATTTCAGTACCTTTGCCTGGGAAATCCCATGGACAGAGGAACCTGGCAGGCTACAGTCCATGGGGTCGCAAAAAAGTCAGACCTGTCTTCGGGACTAAACAACAATATTTACTGAGCACTTATTAAATGCCAGATGCTGATTGATTTGTAGACCAACCCTCTATCAGGTGCTATTACTACCCTTATTTTACAGTTAAAGAAACTAAATCTCAGAGAGGTTAAAATAATTTGCCCAATGTGCCACAGATGCTTAGTGTCCAGATTAGGACCAATCTTCTTTCTGAATGTCTGCCTTTTCTCAAGTTCTGCCTTTTTTGTGACGTTTAATCACTGTTGTTCCTGCTGCTGTCAATAGTGAGAAGGAAATAATTGATTTAAGGAAATCTGCAACAACTGAAAAATGAGGGCCTTTTCAAGTCAGGCCTGACTTCTACTCCCATCTGGTTGACTCTCACATGCAGAGGAATGCAGTGTGCCCAGCAATCACCAGACTAAGGCTTCGCAGGGTTTAAAATCAGGAAACCAAGGCATATGCCTAAAAGTGGAGGAGATGCTCCTAACCTAAGCTTGGGCACTTCAGATAACTAAACCTCTTGAATATCCATAACCTTTGGACAAATAAGGCATGACTAGTCTAAGGTACCCTTGACTTGAGACTCATTAGCTTGAGTAGAGAACCCAGACCTGCCTGTCTCATGATAAAGGAAAAGAAGGGGTTGGGAGGAATGAGAGTTCCTGGTCTTTCCAGGTTATGCTCTTTCTGCCTCTCAGAACTTTGGGTATCTTCCAACACCTCATTTTCCAGAGGTTCCAGGGAGGAAGAGACGAGAACAATCAAGAAATATCCCTAAGGCCTTCCATCCCAGGCAAAGGGTATACAGATTCTATGTGTAATGCAAATGCACACCTAGAGAAGGCACAATCTCCAACTCTCTGAGGACCCTGAACAAAGCTCTCCAGTTCTGTGAACACACTTTCCCATCTATAAAATGAGCATGTTGAACTACCTGCTCTCCAGAACCCTGCTGTGATGCTATAGGTCCTCTTCCACCATAGGCAATGTTGGGAAGAAACAACGGGGAGTCCTCCAGGAAGAAGGATGAAGAAGAAGTTCAGAGCAGACACCGGTTAATCCCCCTGGGCAGAAAAATCTATGAATTCTACAATGCACCCATTGTGAAGTTCTGGTTCTACACTGTAAGTACCTTTCCCTTTCTCCTTTTTAATGGATGGCCACAGAGAGTCAGCGTCAGTTTCTTCTGCGAGTCATAACATAAGGACCACACAGGCAGGAATAACAGTTCAATGACCTTGCTTTTCCCTATAGCTTTGCAAGATTTGTGGAGCTTGTGAGGCAGCTTCCACAGTTTCTACATTTCTCCTCCTTGCAGAAAATAAAGGAAATGGTAAAAGAGCTAACAGAAATAGAGATGAGATGAATGTGAGTCGAGTCTAGAAGGGAAATAGAGGTCCTTTTACAAAATGATTTCATGTTCTGGATGGATGAGTGCTGGATCAGAGTTGCCCATTTTAGATGTCAATCCTGGTTTTAGGGGGACAGTTGGTGGGCTGAGCAGAGTATTAGAAGGAAAACCACTTAAGATGGGGATCAGAAGTGTGTAATTACTCCCAATACGTCATCAAACAAGTTTCTTGCTCTGACACAAACAACATGCAAACAAAATAGCAAAAAACATGTAAAGAAACCTACAATCACAGCAAATACTGTCCAGTAAGCATACCCTGCAAATATTTTCTGCCCACAAGATGAAAGATTATCCCTGAAATAGCCTCCTGAGAGGGGAGAAATGGCCTGACTGGTAATTTTCGGCCTGTCTTTTTCATGATATTTTAAGCTTAAGGTAAGTTTTGAGCGAGGTCATTTCTGCTGCTCTCCAGCCGCTGTGGAGTGGGGCCAGGTGAAAAGTGGTGCATCTGCATTTTTGGCCTTTCTCACAGCCAGCTACGCACCAGTCACTTGAGTCAGCGGCAGGATAATCTGAGTCTGAGGCCGAGATGACGCAGATGACTAGACGAGGTCCTTTTGGTGTGGTCCTGTGTGCTGACACTGAATGATGGCTTTAAGTCAGGCTTTCCCAACTTCATCACTATTGACATTTGGGGCAGAATAATTCTTTGTTAAGGAGGGCAGCCCTGTGCCTTGTAATATGCAGAGCAGCATCTGGCCTCTGTCCACTAGGTGTCAGTAGCCATCTCCAACCCCAGATGTGATAAACATACTGTCTGAAACATTGCCAGATGCCTCCTCGCGGGGTAAACGGCACACGCTGAAAATCACTGCTTTAAAGTATAGCCTTGAAAGAGGATGAGAAATTATCAAAATATAAATAAAGTAAAAGGAAGTAAAATTTTTAATTTATTAACATTAAAAAAAGAAAAGTATTCTCTTCCCCCCCCAAAATAACTAAGGCATGCAAAAATCATTTCTATTTATATATTGCATGCAGATATTTGTTTTCTGACAACCAGTGGCAAGCATGGACTTTGGAGTCAGACAGCCTAAGTACAAATCCTGTCTGGGCCTCTTTATTATTGTGTGACCTTAAGCAATTTACTTTAACACTCTGTTCCCAGTTTTCTTAAGACGAGGATAATAATATACCTACTTTATAAGGATTGGTAAAGATTAAATGTGTTAAAATATGTAAAGCGCTTAGAACAGTGCCTGGAACACATTAAGCATAAAATAAATGTAACTTGTTATTCCTAGGCTAGACCAATTGCAGAGCAACAGTGTTTTATTCATCCATCCACTCAAGCAATGATAGAGCATTTATTGAGCACCTACTATGAGGCAGTCTGCTAGGTGCTTTATATATACTTTTCCTAAACTAACATAATGTTTTTTATTGTACTTTATGCCAGGTCTGCCCTTTCCTTTATATTAGACTGCTTTAATTGTCTCAGCCTAGGTCAGAATTTGGCAAACCATAGCTCATGGGTCAAATCCAGCCCACTGCCCATTACTGTGGCCCGTGAGCTAAAAGTGTTTTTTACATTTTTAAAGAGTTGAAATAAAACCAATTGAAGATGAATTTGTCACACATGAAATTCACATGTAACTATATGTCCATAGATAAAGTTTTACTGGGACACAACCCAACTCATTCATTTACCTATAATCTGGCTGCTTTTATGCTCCAACTGTCGAGTTGGTCACTTGCAATAGAGATCATTTGACCCACAAAAACCTTAAATTATCTTAACTATCTGGTCCTTTACAGAAAATGTTTACAGATTCCTTTTCTAGAGCATAAAAGAAGCCAATAGAAGTAGTAGTTTCAGGAATTATCTATCACCTGTACAAAAAGAGTATGTGATTCTTTTAACCTTTTGAGACATCTTTTTCTTCTTGTGTTCTGTATTAATTTTACTTCCTTGATTTTTCTAGTTCCCTTCACATAGCTGAGGCAGTTTGTTAGCCACGAATGTTTTTAGATCACAAATGCCCTGGCCAATGGTTCTGAGCCTTGGCTATACACTGGAATCACCTGGAGTGCTAAGAAAAAACACCTGGGCTCTATTTAATCTATATTTTAAAAGATTCATGGGTTCTTTTTCCTGGAGCTTCTAATGTTATTGGTCTGGGGCAGAGCCTAGACATCAGGATATTTCAAAGCTCCCACGTGGTTGTAATGAGTAGCCCGGGATGAGAACATTACTCTAGACAAAGGGCTGAGTTTTCAGCCTGGTAATTCTAAAACTTCCATGATGCTAAAGGCTTGTGTTAGAAATGCAAATTCCTGACCCTATCATAGCCCCCACTAAATGAATCTCTAGGGAGGAGCCTGAGAGGCAGTTTAAATTCTCACTGAGTCTTATGGTCTGGGAAGCATAGGGCACACTGCTTTCCTTGTACAACATACTGCAGGTTGTGGGGCTACCTCTCTGAGAAGCGGGGGAGGGCACGTGTCCAGGTCCTTTCTTCATGGCTGACTGGATTACCCTCCACATACCCCTTAGACCGATGCTCCAGTTATGTCCAATTGTGTTTCCACAATGATTTCCAGAAATCCATGTGCCCTGACAAAGCCCAGGCCTCAAGGAAGCAAATGGAGATGTGGAGTGTCAATCTTAAAATCCCCAGAGATGCTGACCAGTAAAATGCAGCTTTAAATCAAAGGGCCCATTTGCTTTTCTTTTTTGTCTGTAAGAGTAGGTCCCACCCCAATTTCCAAAAGTATCCCGTTCTACAGTCCCACGGTTCTGAAAGGTAAGGCACACCTCACTGCCACATGACGTCAGTTCCCTGTCTTAGCAAGTTTCCAGAGCGCAGGTGAGTCCCCTGCCGTTCCAGCTGGCTCCCAGGCTGCCTCGTGTGAGAGCTCTTCCTAGGGCCCAGTGGGAGAGGACACCAGTTCACGGTACCATGGTGCCAGGTCAGAGGGCACCACTGCGCTCTGGGCTTTGCCAGCAGGGCAGACTCTTCATCTGCCGACAGCATGGAGCCCTTCCACACTCTTGTGGCGTTAGGAAAAGGCCCGGGACGAAGTGAGGAATGGCCGAGCCCCACCAGGGACCCCCAGGCAGCTTCAGCAGGCTTTGGTTGCTTACTTTCATACTTTAAGAGTCATGCATCTTGGTTAATGGAAATTTTATAAAAATACGTAAGTAAATAAACAGATTCTTAAAGGAGTCCCACTAAGCTAAGAATCATAAGGTTATATTTCTTTTCAAAATTATGGAATTCTACACACAGCCTGTTAAAGCTTACAGGATATAGACAAGTATGTATATATATGAATATATAGTCACACATACACCCACCACCATTAAACCGTGTCCTGTTAGGGTACTGTGCAGCAAGGCCCATGAATGTTAGCGAGTTCTAAGACATCAGCCAGTCCTCTGTTGTACCATTGAAACGTGTTCAAAGCCCTATTTTTGGAAGTCCATATTTTGGGAGTTGTCCCCAAATAGTATATTGTAGCTTGATAATGGAAAGGAAAGTATTGTAGAGTAGTTATGGTTTAAAAAACAGGCAGGAGCTAAAAGAGAAGGTCCTGGAGGAAGCATAAGCAATGAGGTCAATTTAAAAAAGAAAAAAGAACAGAGGTATGAATAATGAACAGGGGTAAAAATGAAGGACTGAGGTAAGCAGAAGTAAAAAGAATAGAAGTTTCTTGAAAACAGAGGTGTATAATAATGTCAGCCACCATTCACTGGGCTGTGTCAGGAGAGAGATGCATATTCCCGTCTCCCTGTCCTTCCAAAAGCTCTGCAGGGTCAGTTGCAAACATCTCCATTTCACAGAAGGAGGCCCAGGCAAGCGAAGTGATTTGCACAAAAAGATACAGCTGAGTGGAGGATTTTTAAATCCAAGTGTCACTGACCTTTCATCTGCATTCCTTCCACCAAACACTAGTCCTTCTGCCAAACAACTACACTGTACCTGTATTTACAGGACAGAGGCAGATTGAAGGAGTTATTTAAGTACTAAAATGATGAGGTTCTGGAGGAATTGTGTGTGTGTCACTGGGCCTACTTGTGACAAGAGAAGATAATGGTTTGGAAAGTTTTGCAATGAAGTAAGTAAAATGTCAAAACCGGAGCGGTTAACAAGGCCCACCAGAAGCAGTGGAATTTGATCCAACAAGGAGAAAGAAGCAACTAAAAAGAGAAGGGTTTCAGGTCAGAAGGAGGCTGAAAGTATATTTTAGCGTTTAACCATTAAAGTCCTTTCCTTGTGTTTTGTAAAGTACAGAACTCATAGGGACTAGAGAGTGGATGCCAATATATAATGGTAAACAGGAACCGTATAAAACAAATTACACCTTAAACACCATCCTATACCGTTTCCCGTTGAGTAGACAAGATTCTTTTCAGGTGAGGTTTTCACAGTGTGCTAATGATCTCAATGTGGGTGGGGTAGGAACTGCGGCGTGGTTATAAAGAGTGGTCCTGGGGCAGGGTGGGTGTACAGCAAGGAGGGAAGGAGCTCTGCTGACTCTTCAGCGTCTGTTCAGCTGCCTTCTCACTTTCATACGTGATCTCCAACATACATATGCATATGCCGGCCCTTCGAGAGATGAGAAATTAAATAGCTGTGTCTGTAAATCCATCAACGTAACAAGGTCTCAGAAAATGTCTGTAAGTCTTATTCAGGATCTATGTATTCATTTGTTTTTAAAAAGGAAAGGGAAGGAGGGGGAAGAAAGAAAAAGGAGGAAGATGAGAAAGAAGGGGAGACGAAGAAACGGGGGAAGGAAAAAACATGGAAAAAAGAGAAAGGGGGGAAGGGAAAAAAACGGGAAGAAAAAAGGAAAGGGGAGGAGGAAAAGTAAAGAGGAAGGGAAAAAAGAAGGAAAGGGGGAAGAGAAAAAAAGGGGGAAGGAAAGAAGAGGTCCATTAGGAGAGAAAGCAGTGTTTTTCCAGCTCTGCAGGGCTGCCCGTGCCCCTGTGTCCCCAGCCAGGCTGCATGGTTTTCCACCTTCTAAGCAGCCTGCAGGGCTCAGAATCACCCTGTACCTCCAGAATTCTCAAGGTCTCAGTCCTTTTGCCCACACTATATCCTATTCTTTCCTAAGCCCCAAAGAGTGCAGGTTTGAATTACTCACTCAGGTCCTACTCACAGCCCCTGAGGCCCCTAAAGCTAGCCAAGTACATTGCCCAACTTGAAGCCTCACCTAGAAAAGGCTTAGCTTCTTTGCCACTGCCCACCCTAGAATGAAATTTTTCCTCAGCCTCTTACGTAAGAGCCTCGCCAGCGCTCCTCCTCTCCACTCATCTAGACATCCCTGCATCCCCCAGTGACGGTCAGCAAACCTGAGCCCTGAGGAGTATTCCTGGGACACACTGCCGCTCAGCCAGTTCCGTCAGGGCTCAACCTCCAGCGTTACTGCCTCGTGAGAGTTAAATCTCACTGCAAGTCACAGTCAGCCTCGCAGACCCATTCTTTCCTCTAAATTGCTCATCTTCTCTTGTTTTGTTTCAAAGGAGGAGAAGCCAGGAAGGACTATCCTAGCTTGGATAGGGCAGGAAAGTCGTGCCAGGGATGAGGTATAACCCTCCCAGGGTACTGCCAAGCCAAGCACATTAAGATAGGAGGGGAAAAAAGTTAACACAGAAGAGAATTAAAGTGGGGCTCCAAGGAAGTCTGGGCTATTTTTATGTTGTTTTGACCAATTTACAAGTATAGCATGTGTCTGCCTTCCCTTCTTATAGACGTTTAATTTACCTGGCATTCTTCAGGCAAAAATTGACTGTGCTGTCCTGGTTCAAGGACCCAAGCCTCATACATAAGCAAGAGCAGTCCCTGAGAGAAGAGGTTCCCTTTTTAGCCAAGAAGACTCCAGAAATGGGGTAATTGCAAAACGAAATGGTGCGTCATGACACTGGTACAAGCAGAATATGGGGACCCGAGGCATGCAAGGTCCAAAAGGAAGATTGAATATCAATTATTTCAAACATTATAGTCGTTTAAAATTCTCTCGATAGTTGAGCACCTAGAAGTTCATTTCATCGTGAATAACTAGCCCTGCTTGCTGACCTTGGTCTGTGCTGCTGCACCGCGTCCTTGCCCAAGGGCATGGCTCCCAGGCCTTCGCAGCCAGAGCACTGTATTGTGTTTCCTTACAGCTGGCGTACATCGGATACTTGATGCTGTTCAACTATATCGTGCTAGTGAAGATGGAGCGCTGGCCTTCTACCCAGGAATGGATCGTCATTTCCTATATTTTCACCCTGGGAATAGAAAAGATGAGAGAGGTAACCACTTTCCTAAAAGAAAACAGAGGAGAAAGACAGTGGTTAGTTATCTCTGTGAATGGAGGGGAGTAAGGAAGGTTGGGGTCCAAATTAAGCCAGAAACAATTTCTCTAATGCTGCCACAGAAATAAGGGACTTCGTTTCGGCCTCTACAGACAAACCTGGGAGGCGTCAGGGTGTGTTTATAAGATTGTCACTTCATGTATGCTTGGGATCTAACCTGTATTTTCTGGAGCATCACTCTTGCCCCAAGAAACCTCCAGTTGTCTTCAACACTGTTTACACCTCCCTTTCCTCATCTTGATAAATGTGACTTTTACATTTTTTTTTCTACTTAAAAAATTTGTTTTTTATCTTTGAATTTTCCACTTTTAATTCCCATTGAAACCCCTTACTCTGGGTCTTTTCGGACCCAGTCTACCAATACCTATGGTTCTGCAAATGCATTTCAGCAGCTCCAGGATGAACTATGCCTTCGTTAATTTATTACCTAGCTCATTCCTTCTCAACATTTATTATCCCCCTGCTGGGCAATAGCTACCAGCCCCCGGCAAAATGAGCATATTTCTTGTCCTTCAGGTTGAGGGTGTGAGTCTCTTCTCTCCCTCATCCCGTCGCATTAAAGAAGCCATCAAAATGCCACCCTCATGTGACGTACTTGAATTCAAGGGTAACCTTGGGCCATCAGATTCAGAGCCTTTATAATAAATGCAGTCAAGCAGTAGTCCACCAGAGGGCTCCGCAACCCTGCCCAACAGGCTCCCACAGCTGGTTCCCAAGTCCACAGGGATGTCAAGCTTGTGCAGTGAGATTCCTCTGCATTTCCCGCTGAAACTAGTCAGCTGGAGAGGCTTTTTCTGGAAGAATTACTCCCTGTCAAGTCCACTGCATTCTCAAGAGCTCTACTTGCTGTACTATAGTCAGTGGGAAAAGATATTGGGCCCCCTAGAAAAAATAATTCTTCCAAACCCATGAATTCACCCTTGCCTTCATTACTGCTGCTTGCTGCTAAATTGCTTCTGTTGTTTCGACTCTTTACGACCCCATGAACTGTAGCCTGCCAGGCTCCTCTGCCCATGGGATTCTCCAGGCAAGAATACTGGAGTGGGTTGCTATGCCTCCTTCAAGGGATCTTCCCAACCCAGGGATCGAACCCATAATCTGTTATGTCTCCTGCATTGGCAGGTGGGTTCTTTACCTCTAGCGACACCTGGGAAGTCCCTGCCTTCATTGCTAAGTAAGGTTAAAAGGGCCTTACTATCAGGGCTAAAATGTTCTCCTCCAAGAAAAAGTAGGATCATTTAAAAAAATATGTATAAATAGTTAAGAGCCCTTCCCTTGGGTTTTTAAACTACCTTGGGATATTTAAATTCTAGCCATCATGCCCCCATTTTGAGAGTCCTATTTTATAAGGAACGGGATTTTTGTTGCTGGTGTTAATGGATGCCTGTCTACTCTCAGGCTTTCCCATTCATAATGCCTTCCACTTCCTGACCAGTGTTGTGTATTCCCCACTTGTAAACTGAAAACAGTAATAAATTCGCTGTGGTCTTTGTGTAGCTCTCTGAGAACTGAGGCTGCTAACTGCTAAGGGTTCTGTTGCTGTGAAGTGCCAGCTCCCTGGCTTTGTGATTTAAAGCCTTAGATGCATATTCCTTCCCCATGATAAGCAGAAAAGGGAAAGGCTAGAGCAGGAGATTGGAATCTCTCCAGGGACTAGACTGGAAGAAGACAGGGAGCAGTCTGTACTCCACGGACTGTTCTGGAAGAAGCTGCCAAGCCGGCGGCCTGCCAGGAATCTCCAGGCTGGCTATCCATTTCTCCTGAGGCGGCATATAACAGCAGGGAGGGCAGAGCCTGGAGCCCGGGGTCAGCAGGGGGTCAACCAAGAGCCCTTGTTTCCGAGGCAGCTGTGGGACGGGAGGCGCTGACCACCTAAGCATCTGACCTTTTCCTTTTCGGCCCCGGGAGGTTGCCCCTCGCCCCGTGTGCTTGAATCCATTAAAGAAATGCTCAGGCGCCAAGGGTCCCGCCTTGTGCCACCTCGCAGTCAGCACGCAGGCCCTGCAGACCTCAGACGCAAGAGCCTGGAAACAGGGAAAGTCTGTAGGCTTCTGCGCCTCCTGGGACCTACAAGGAGGGCTTTGTGGTTTCACGTTCTGCCAACCCCTTCCCGGCACCACATTCTTCCGCGCGGAGTCAGCCCAGCAAGCCGGGTGATCCCGTAACAGCACGTAACTGCTGCGCCACGCGGGTGCCCATCCTCCCACTGGGGCCTCCTCCGGCCACTTGTACAGTGGATGATGCAGCTGTGAAGGCGTCCCTCTCCACAGCTGTGGGAACTAAGACTCGGGGACTGAGCAAATTTTCTCAGTAAAAAGAGAGCTGGGTCTTAAACCAGACTGGCCCAGCCTTAGGCCCACCCTGCCCGTGGTTACAAACTGGGACGCTCCCTGGATCCCAGGGATCCTAAGAGAGGCCTCACCTCCTGCACTCTGCTTTTATCTGTTTCTATGTTGAGATTTCACAAAGATACTTTCACTGTTTTTTAAAAAATATTTTGCTACAAACCTTAAGAGAGTGTGGGCCAAGAGTTAGAGAAACTCTTTAATTAAGACATTCCCGACCCCCTTAGGACGCCTGCGGGAGCGCACACAGTGATTTTTGCCTAGTTAGGATGGAGGGGGCATGGGGAGCCAACAGCACAACTGCAGCAGGAATTCCTCAAGGGCAGGACAGGGACTCCCAACCTGTGGCCAGCAGCATGGCCTGGGAGCTTTTAGAAATGTACATCCTCAGGCCCGATTCAGACACATGAAAGCAGAAACTCCAAGGGTGGGGCTCAGGCAACTGCTTTCACCAGCCCTCCAGGTGGTTCCAGTGCATGCTGAGGGCTAGGGGTTTAGGAATAAGGTACTCGAAGAATGAAGCTACCAGGTAGGTCCTGGTATCTTGCTCAGCCTTTCAAGCTCCAGTCTTGACTTACTAAGACCACCCTTCCTTACACTTCAGGCCAAGGTAAGCTAGTAAAGTCATTGTGAAGATTCAAATCAATAGCTGCAAATGAAACCTGTCCCATCTTTGCACTCCTTTCTTTGAGAGATACTGAACTGGGAAAGGGGTGAGTCATGGCTTGAAGAGGTGGAAATCTCAGAGATAAACACAAATGATTCATGAAGGTAGCCCTGCTACGTAGCTTCACGAGGTTCCTCACACCCTGTGGTACAGAATGGGTAGTAACTCCTGCTATCCAGCTGCGCATTTCATAGAGTGAGGAGCAGCAAAAAGTCCCCTCTGGATTTAAGATAAATCAGAATGCCACCCAGCAGTTAAGGTATACAAGGGAGTGGATAGTTACTATGGGGTGTCTGTGCAACAATCAATCAGGCAGTCAACAGCTATTTCTTGAGTGTCTCTTATGTAGCAGGCCCTAGGGAACAAAGGGTCTGTCCTCAAAGTTTATAGTTATAGATGAGAGATCAATGGATATTGAGAGGAATGCATGGATAGATGATAGCTAGTTAGCTAGACCAGCATATATGTACACACATACATACACATGTATGAGGAAGGTTTTCAACGAGGGGAAAAAATCTTCAAAAAATAAATAGGCTAATTGACTTAGGGATGTGGAGACCGCTGCAAGGAGGGTGGTCAAGAAAGTTCTTCTAGGAGGGGGAAATAGGGGAGACCTTGAGTATAAGCAGTCACCAGACGTGTAAAAATCAGGGAGAAGAAAATGCCCAACAGAAGGAACAAGTGCAAGTGTCCTGAATGTATAATGGATTTGTTATCTTAAGAGCAGACCATGATGGCCTCAGAGCAGGGAACAGGGACAATATGGTGGGATGTTAAATGAGGCCACCATAAGGAATTTGGATCTTTCTGTATTTGTAATGGAAGCCATCAAAAGGCTTAAGTGTTCAGTTACCACAGTTTGCTCTAGCTTTGCTGTTATTCATCCATCTCTCATGTCTCTCTCTCTCTTTTAAATTGAGGCTTCATTCACCTGTAAGAAAATGAACAGCTCATAAGGGTACAGCTTGATTCATCTTTACCTACCTATACAAGTGTGTGATCACCACCCAGATCATGGCTTAAGCTTTTAAAGGTCTTTCTGTGTGCTGCTCAGAGGCTGACTAGGCAACAGTGATGGCCAGGATACCAGTGAGAAGGCTATTGCAGTCATCTGGGCGATGGGATGGGGCTTCAGAGAGGATGACAGCAGCGGAGGTAGTGAGATGAGGTCGCACTAGGTTGTATTGGGGAGCAGAGCTGATATGTTGATGCAGAGGACATGGGTGTGAAAGAGGGGAGTGAAGGAATCCTCCTAAGTTAGTGGCCTGAGGACCTCAACATGGTAATACTGTTCACTGAGATGGAGAAGGATTTTGGAGATTTGCAGGGTATTAGGAATCGATAATTTTATAGCAAAACTCTAATGTGTGTCGGATTGTAAGGCATCCTAAAGGATCAGACTTACTGCTTATGTACGACTGAGCTAAGCTTAGGTCATCCAGAGCCTCTTGAATAGATACAGGTAGACAGAAAAAAAGTTACTAATGTTGGCTAACAGACCAAGCACTTTCCAACTGGGCTGAAAATGTAGACAGAAATCAAACCTAACCTCGCTCTCTTTCCTGACTTTTAGATTTTGATGTCAGAGCCAGGAAAGTTGCTGCAAAAAGTGAAGGTGTGGTTGCAAGAGTACTGGAATGTCACAGACCTCATAGCGATCCTTCTGTTCTCTGTTGGAATGATTCTTCGTCTCCAAGACCAACCCTTCAGGAGCGATGGGAGGGTCATCTATTGTGTGAACATCATTTATTGGTACATTCGTCTATTAGACATCTTCGGCGTGAACAAGTATTTGGGCCCATACGTGATGATGATTGGAAAAATGGTAAGCAGGGTCCTCTGATTCCATGTTATAAGTTCTCAGAGGAGGAATGGTTATCATCAGAAGAGGGAAATCATTCATTTGGGCCTGCCATCGCTGCCTGAGATGGCCCCGGAGGTGTTTTATTTTTTAATTCCTTTCATGTGTTCAGAAGTTTGATTTCATCTGTATACATAACTGGAGAATTCACACTCACTCACTCACTCACTGACAAATAAACATCATCTATTTTGTGCCAGGCACCTGAGTGGGAATTGAGTATATAAAGATCCTCATTCAGTGAGATAGATGATGAGAGAAAGAGAGTGTAACTACCATATGGTGTGAGAATGCTGTAACAGAGATTGCAATGTATAAAATGTATAAAACGCCGCAGGGACATAAAAGGTTGATCAGAGAAGGCTTCATGTGGAGGTTATATTTTAGCTGGATGTTGGAGAAGATATGGATATCTACTCTCATCGTTTGATAGATTTCTTTTTTCTTAATGAAGTTCTAGAAAAATGTCTTCTCTGTACATAGAAGAAAAACCAATTTAAGATGAGATGAACTATGTTGAATCTGAGTTGAACATTAAGTTCTGTCAATATATCATGTGTTTTGTTACATTACTAGAAAATGATGTGTGAAAAACTGGGTTCCAGAATGATATTCCTACTTATTCTGAAAAGAATCCCAAATGCCAACCTAATATGCTTCCCCACATATGGCTTTGGACTTGTTCCAATTTCCCTGAACCATACACTAATTTCTAGACTTTCTCCATAAAGGCTGAGCACTCAAAGGACAGCATTAGTGTGAATCTGAAAATGTACCAGTAATTAAGCTCCCTCTCCAAACTCAGAAGAGGAAGAATCAGAACCTGATGAAACTGGGTACTTTTATCAGTTAAACCATACACCTCACACAAAGAGAGGGAGAATTTGAATCTAAAAGGAAACGGTTATGAGACCTTAAGCAATCTATTTAACAGCTTTTTGAGATGCAGTTTAGTCATTTCCAAGTAGTTATAATAAATGCAAATCTCATGAGTTTGCAGTGGTAATTAGAAATAACATATGTTAAGTGACCAACTGTCTGATTCACAGTAGGAAGTTGATAAACTGTATCTTTTATCATTGTTAAAGTACAGTGGAAAAACTGAGCATACTTATTTGCTCCATTCCTAATCCTTTTGAACAAAAACTTGGTGTTTGTAATACCAGCATTGTTTACGGAGAATATCACAAAGCCCATTCTATAGTGGAAAAACTTGAATTCAGTAGTGAAAGCAAAAGTCACTCAGTTGTGTCCAGCTCTCTGCAACCGCATGGACTATACAGTCCATGGAATTCTCCAGGCAAGAATACCAAAGTGGGTAGCCTTTCCCTTCTCCAGGGTATCTTCCCAACCCAGGAATCAAGCCCAGGTCTATTCGCAATGCAGGCAGTTTCTTTACCAGCTGAGTCACAAGGGAAGCCCAAGAATACTGGAGTGGGCCACTTATTTATTTTTTAATTGGAGGATCATTAATGAATTCAGTAAGCTTGAGTTAATTAACATCCAATTTAAAAAAAAAAAAGCTTTAGTTACTTACCCAAAACTGAATCCCAGTTCCTTTCAGAGGTTTTTGACTAGAAAACAAATCTCTATCTTATTATATAACATTACCTCTTATATCATTGTACTGTAGTATTAAATTTGAGATGGTGGTGAAAATTTCCACATCTAAAAGCAGAATCTCCACCTCGTCTATGGGAGAGGTTTAGGAGACAGGATCTGTCGGTTCTCCACACAGTTTATGTATAACAACATGTAGATGTATGAATTTTCTGGACAGAGGGAACAAGGTTCTATGAGATTATCAAATATATTTTCAAATGTACGCAATGAAAGTGAAGAACAGCTGCAAAATTAAGCCAAGTTTTCTCGACCTTGACACTATTGCTGCTTTGGACTAGATAATTCTTTGTTGGGGGTGGGGTGGGCTGTCCTGTGCATCATAGCATGTTTAGCAGCATCCTTGGCCTCTACCCCGTGGGTGCCAGTGATATGCCTGTGCGTGAGCACATGCACATGTGTGTATGCACATACACACACACACAACAACAACAACAAAAACATTTCCATATATTGCTATATGTTCCCTGCAGAGCAAGTTACCGTCTGTTGAGAACCACTGTATTATGCAAATACATTATCTGATGGGTTGTTTTTCCTAATTAATCATTACCTTATTTCAGTAAATAGAATTAGGAAGGACTCAAACCAGGCGCATTACTCTTAAGAGGTTGGGTCACATGTAAATACTTGAAATAACTAAAGTCACTCTAATGCCCCACATTTATTTTAAAATTCATCTTTGTCTTTTTTAATAATGACATAATTATTTCCCCAGTTTTGATAAGAATGAAACCTTACCTTGGAGCGAGCAAGAGAGATGTACTGCATTTTTCTACATTCTAACTTATTCTTGACTAGTTAGTGAAATCATTCATAAGTAGAAAATGAATATTTTGGGGGACTTTGTTGTCCTTCTAGGGCTTTTAAGATAACTAGTTCAGTAATTGAGCCACTGATCCAGAAGATAGGTAAACTATGTCTATAGAATTATCAGTGAGCCAGGTGGACTGCCAGAGTGGAAGCTTAACAAAACATGCCTAGGTGTGATTATTCCAAAAGCCCTTATTTAAGCAGTGAAGTAACTTACCTGGTCCAGGCACAACTGAAGGCAGCTAAGGTACTTGGACTCTGGTTAAGTATGATTCCAACTGATCTTCAGCTCTAGAATTACCTAATAGGGCATATTCCACTTCTCAGTGGTTCTCTAAAGCTTAGTCCTAAGTTCACTTATGTAATGTGGATAAAAACAACAAAAATAGGTATCATTTACTATGCACCAAATACCATGTCAGACATGTCAATCATCATTACAACCCCATGAAATAGGCTTTAGTTCATCTCACAATTAACAGACTAAAGCTGAGCAAGAAACAAAGGCTTCAAACTCCTCTCTCACTCCACAACATGACCTTTTTTCAATTCTAATAATAATACATTAACTTTTACCAAGAACTACCCACATTGTGTTTCACACATTATATCATTTAATCCTTACAAAAATAGTATGCGTCATTACTGTTATGCTTATTATCCCTACTTTACAAATTAAAAGAAAAAAACCGAGACCAAGCAACATGCCCAAGATCACCTAGTTGTTCTCGCTAGCGGAGCCAAGGTGAGGACTCAGGTATTCTGACACTTGAGGACATGCTTAACCACTGCAGTATATGCTCTCCTCTATACAACCCAACCGAAGGATGTTTAAAAGAATGAGAGATGATCAGCACTCTTCATATTGAACCAATTGGACAATTTTGGTTTAAAAGCAGAAGCCAGACCCAGTTCTCACTCATAATGTCTTGTTTCTGCAGTTCACTCCAACAGATATCAGTATTTATATGGAAGCTATGGCGCCTTTGAAATATGTGAAGTTGAGTGTTTGAGAACAGTGTTTGTTTGATTGTTTTGACCCTTTGAATAGGTATTGCGATCAAGCTGAATGGAAACAGTCCTGAGAAATTAGATTAGAACAGTTGCTGTATTTACTGGCTGAATTTTCTTGGATCAAACTAGGTCCTAAATCTCATAAGTAAACACCTTCCTCTCCCCACCCACCTTTTAATCAGTCTAAATAAACATAACAGAAAGGACCCCTTTGTGCTTTTTCATTAATAGAACTTTTTGTAAATAAATGATGAAAGAATTTTGCAAGATAAGAGAGAGCGGGGATGAGAAACGGACCCATGTTTCCTATAAAACTGCTGACTTGCTCATTTTAAGAGAGTTCTGAGGCTACTAAGTTGTGAAAAGAATAACTAACTAGCATATATTTTTAAGGACAGTGAGCAGATATGAATGAACATCAAACTTTGAGATATTTCGTTTCAAAGTCAGACAGTACTTGAGAGATTTTGAAGTTGCATTGCAAGTTGATTAATTAACCTAAAATGTATTGAGCCCCTAGTGTCCTGAGGCCTACAGGAAGGCTGTAATGTTTTAATTCCAGTAACTGGCACCATGAAATGTATCCTTGCAAAATGAAATTTAAAACTAACTTAAAGCCTTCATTGCCACTGATAAAATTATCATCAGTCTTTCTTTGTGGATGGACATTCCTTCAGGAAATTTGATATCCAAGAGAAGACAGTCTTTTGTGTTAGGTGGTTTTATGCAAGGGATAGAAACCAGTCTCCTATTGACTTAAACCCAGGAGGGATGACTTGATTTACAGCAGGGCATGATGGAAGCTACTGCACCCAGGCCACCAACCACCATCACAACTCACTGTCTCCTTCCCTGGAATACGTGCTTCCTTCACTCTGATCTGTTTCCCTAGTGGGAAACAGCCTTAGACACACAGAATTCACTTTATTACAGAGACAGCAAGGGAGCTTCTCTCCCCACTTCAGCTTAAAAAAATCCAAAGACAAGATTCTGGTTGGCCTATCTTGTGTCGCATCCCTACCTCCTGCCGCTGTTGCCAGACAGCAAGTTACCGTGATTAACCCAGCCTGGAAAAGACACCTAAATTTAGGGCCAAAATGGGTGGGAAAAACAAAAAACTGTTTCTGAAAGAAGGAGGCAATGGGTTCTGGCCAGGCAAAATAATAGTTATTGCATCCTCATCTATTTTCGGTGATAAAAGGAAAGTAATTTGGCATATGAGAAACAGATCCCAGATAACATGTATCATGAAAACAAGCAAAAAAGAAAGAAAGGAAGAGGAACAAGAGATAGCATTGTACTTGAATGGAGTCCAGTACAAGTCAAGAATTTTATGAACTTGTCAAGATGAAAATCCAGCATTTCAACAGCAAGCACAGAAATAGACCATTAGGCTACCTGATTCTAATTCCTACACAAAACACCCTCTGTAACTGATAGGATACAATGCAGAAGAAAGAGCAGAAAGAGTGGTTCTCTGAGAGACTGGTCTGTGGTAGAAAACTGTGCAATGAGGTGGGGCCACAAGAGTAAGGCAGTTTAAGATGGATATTTGGGTTGTCTGAGTCTGGTTTACAAATAATTATTCTCGTGGGCTTTTCAGCTCTTGATAAGCCTTTCAGAATTTGGAGAATTTACAGCATGGCAATAGTTGTCAAAATAATTCAACTATCCCAGTTCCAACTTTGCTAAGAAGAAAGAGACCCAGCAAGGACCTTTGTCTTTCCCAGGACCAGAAAAAATGTTAGTAATGCATTCACAGGCTCAAGCTTCTGTGTCATATGACTAATGCCTAGTCACGACTAGGTCCCACAGAAAAACATGGAAGGTGATGGTGTTCCACTGTACATGTGCTTTATGTTTTTAAATTATTTTCTTAGTAACTGATAAGAGTTATTGGACATTGGTTTCAGTAGACCAAGTGGTTACCTGATCACAGCTCCCTATCTCAACATCCCTTATCAGCAGTCTCAAAAGTGAACCAAGTTTTCCAGGAATACTCAGTCATTCTGGTTTTCTTTTGTTTCTCCCTCTACTTCCCCCTGCTTCCAGATGATAGACATGATGTACTTTGTCATCATTATGCTGGTGGTGCTCATGAGTTTTGGGGTCGCCAGGCAAGCCATTCTCTTTCCCAATGAGGAGCCATCATGGAAACTGGCCAAGAACATCTTCTACATGCCCTACTGGATGATTTATGGGGAAGTGTTTGCGGACCAGATAGACCGTAAGCAAGTTTATGATTCTCATACACCAAAGTCAGGTATTTAACTTTAATTGGGTCATATCTTTTCCAAGTTCATTTGTTTGTTCTCAATAAATGGCTCAAGATAGAGGACTGATTCCTAGCTTGCTATCTTGGAGGAAAAAAAACAATTATAGAAGGTGAATATACAATTTTAGCAAAGTAGTCCTTGGGTGTTTTTTCAGGTATGTCCTTCCTGTGACATCTGGTGTGCCAAATTTGACCAAGAATGAACCATTTTAAAAGATCTAAATTCCTTGAGGATTCAAAATCCTGGGGCCATGTGTTGAATATTTCAATATTAAAAGTATATTATATCATTACCCCCCATCCCTATCCTAGCCTTTAAAAAATAAATTCCTTGGGTTTGACTTCAGAACAAATAAACAATTCTCAATTTCGCCATCAGAATTCAAGAGTGAGGGCAAACATCTGCATGGTGTTTTCCTTGCACTGGAAACTATTCTCCAGCTCCTTTTCCCACTGTCTTAAATTATGTGCTATTGAGACTCAAAAGAAGCTAGTATTCATTGCCTGGAAGTATGGAAAATGCCTTAGGTTATGAACTGAGTTACTTGCTTATAAATGCCAGAAAAAAAAAATAGTATCTATATCATGAAGTGACTCATTGTGGGGAGTGAGTGCCAGCAGGCCCCTGATGCTTCATGCCCTAATAGATGCTGATTCTCTGTAATAAACACCCTTCTTGTACAGGGCTTGAAGATAGTTGTATCCTATGAGTCTGTTCCAGCATTTTATTTGGACCAAATGTCAGGGCACACCAAGCATTGGGAAATTATTTGGGAAGAAAGCTTCAGAAAAGAAATATCTTTCATTGTGGAGGAGTTGAATCCCAGGAGCAACCATTTCTCATTTTCCCTGAGGAGTTTAGCTCTAGAAATTACATCCTTCCAACATTGTTGAATTAACATTTTTCTAACATTTTTTGCTGACAGGCCAGCCATCTGAGCTCTGGACTGTGGACACAGATTAGAGTTATATAACTAGATAGTATAGCTTATTAAGAACAGGAGCAAAAACTAGTCGGCATCCCCCAACACCCAACCCTGCCAGTTTTAGGTAGGACTAAGACTAGGAAGATAAGGACAAATGACCTAAAAGAGTGAGTCCTACAGGCCTGTGAAGAGTATGTGTACAATAGCCACAGAACACACTAGTCTGTCATTCTCTCCTCCATGATGAGTTTTGAACAAATACTCTTTTCTTCTCAAAATGAGTTATCTGAGGCAAGAAGGTTTTTTTGGAACACCTAATTGGAACAAATACCCATTGCATGAGACTTAGCCAACTCACTGAGCAAGAATTCTAACTCCATCTCCCAGTTGGAATATCTTTGACAATGTGCAGCCTTCACCAAGACAGCTTTCCAGGGACTGGGAAAAACTCTTTTGAATTCATTCTTTCAAATGGTCCCTGAAGGCAACATAACACTTGATAGCCCACCTGTGATCATTCTTCTCAGGAATTAAATGTACTATTTTTCCCCAACAATTTGCTTTTCCACTTACATTATTTTGCTTTTCCTATCTCTCCTTTCTTCCCCTAAATGAGATTAAGCCCCCCATAGGTCTGTTGACAATGCGACATTTTGGGATGGGAGAAAGAGGGAGGTATAGGTGTGCTTTATGTGTGGGATTCTGTCCGTCCGTCTACAAGTGGCCATTTATTGATGTTGTACTATGAATGGAGCCTAGTGCAACAAACACCACCATTTGGCTGAATCAGAGGATCTATTATTGTTATTTTAAAGAAGGGCTGATTGTAGTTTAGAACTTGAAAAACCCTGGAGATGGAAGTGTGGTGTTTTGTGTGAGTGAAGTATGAAAATAGATGTGCCACATTGTTGATTAGACCTGTGATGCCCTATGTGTGTGAGAATAAATTTCTACCCCGTATCCTACATACCCCAGTATGTAGCCAACCCAGCCTTGGATGGATGCAACCTTCATGACTCCCTTCCCGCAACTACTTACCTTTTCTTTCCATGTTCTGAAATTGGCTGCAGTAGTAGCCACTGTTCTAAGCTAAATCAGCCAGTTTATTGTCTAGAGTGCTAACGAGTATTTGTCCTTTCTCAAATGGGTATAGAAGGCTGCCCCCAAATCTGTCATTAAATTTGGCCTGTGTCATTGAATATCCCTGTCCTCTAAATGATTTGATTTGCATGTTGTGGCACTGAGTGGGCCCAAGAGAGATTGGGTGACGGCCCCACCCTGTCATCCAGAACCACCCAGGAGACTGGGTACCGAGCTGTTTGAGAAAGGTACGAATCGTTTATGCTGCCCTGCGGCGTCCTGCCTCCCCTCTGTGCCGTGTCCAGGCTGGTTTGTGAAGCATGTGTTCAGGCTAACGGGGTCCCACGTCCGCCTGGACTGCCAGGGCCCACCAGCCCCGTCCTGTGGACCTGCCCTGTGGGGGCCTCTCCAAGTGCTGCTCATTCTTGCTCACCTTCTCAGGGGGGCTCATTTGTAGCATAATGCACGCGCTCCGTGTCTAACTCTGGGTTTTTAGCTGTGAAAGTGCTGAAGCCATTTCATATTGCAGAAGTAATCTTTCTTCATTGGAATGAGTGTATTATATGTTGTTGTATAATGGGGGCCACACGGTTGGGGGAGGTTGTTAACATCTGTCCCACACCTCAGAAGGGAGGACAACTTTAAATGCCCTCACTTCTGGGAAACAGTGTTACCCAACTACAGATTTTTTAAATACATTTCATTTTTTTCTTGTAGTTTGTCGTAAACCCAGATAATATCAATAAGGCCCAAAAAAGCTAGAATGACACTTCTGTTACTTTCCAAATGTGCTTAAAGACTAAAAGGAAAAAAGAGGGGAAAAAAAAAGAGTGTAAATTCCCAAAATGACTTTTCACCTCTAAGCCAGGTTGGATGAACACAAATGATAGCCCAGCCTTAATCTCAATTTATCTTTAGTTTAGCAGCTGAAACATTTGCTTTGGTGTTGAGAGCAGAAGTCAGTGTAAAAACATGATTGGAAACAGCAGATAATAAAACTCAGGAAAGGAGAGTGACAATCTGCTCTGTCTAGACAGCTTTGCCAAACACCCTGATTAACTGATGTGGGTTGAACTTGCCGTCATTGTCTGATTGGTTGGTTCCTGGTTGTTTTTTTTAATAGCCCTAAATCATCTCAGGTGTCTATGTTTTATATACTAGCTCTCTAAGACCCAATCTATGGGCTACCATGAGGGAATTTGGACTCTGGGTTGCTAAAAGTATTGCTACCGAATGATGGCATCCTTCTGGGCCTCTCATTAAATGAACCCTGTTGCGTGGCTTCTGAGAGCTGGTCAGGATCCCACTGGAGCCTGAGGGGAAAAAAACCACTTAAGAGAAGAGAAGGTGCAGAATAAATTTTCAGCACATTCATTCCAAGGCTGGGGCAAAGCTAAAATTAGATGGATTCTAGCCATCTGAGAAATCTGGTTCTACGTTTTGGTATGTGAGGTGCTTGGAAATACACCTTTATTGGCAGAGAAAATGGGGTGTCTTTGGCTTCCTCAAGTCTCTGAATGAATGAGACTTCCCTTTATTTACAGGGCATCCTTGTGTTGCCTGCTGTACACACAGATTCTCCAGGCTGTACCAGGGCAGGGGGAAAATGAATCATGCTCTTGAATGCATTAAATCAGTATCTAAATTTAGTCCTTCTTTCTCTCTCTCTGAGTATTTTCACAAGTTTGGTTAGTAATGCGAAAGCAGAATGTCCAAAACTTACTTTCTACCATGACAACTTATTATTTGGTCGTTTCTAGTCACCCCAAATTAACTATCCAACCTACTTACTGCATAGATCACATTTTTTTTTCTTTTATTGCCTAAGGCCTTTCCATCTGAAGTTAATAGGTTATCTGGAGTAAGAGGGATTTTTGTGCTATCATTTTGGTTTGGTTTTGCTCGTTTATTTATTTACTATTAAAAAAGCCTCTGTAGGCTTGTTGTCTGTGTGGTATTGACTGGATTTAAAGTGCTGCTTTTATCATGAAACAAGGAGCATGTATATGCATGTACAGTTCAAACATTCTCCTGTATTACTTTTCTGTCTCAAATTATTCGTTGCTCATTTCAGGTGTGGAAATTAGGATAGCACAAGGCCAGTCTCTAAAATATGCCTGCTGTGGCGAAGCTCAGAATGGCAAGAACAGAGAGGCTGGCTATTGTTAAAAGTTTCACTCCAATTCTGGAAACTCGGGGCTCTGCGTCTGTTTGGTATTGGGGGCTGACCTTGACTAATGAATTCAGAGCACGCTAAGGCCTGACAGCCATATCATGGGGAGTGTTGCCTGACCAAAGAAAGGATTTTGGAAAAAACAAACTTGAGCCAAAGCCAACTTTTGGGAAAGGGGGGAATTGTTTTGCTGGCTTTTGCTTTTGCACATTGCTAAGGAAGCAAGCCAGTATGAGGCCCCACCCCCATTTTCCATCCCTGAAAGTCACCTTACACTCCAGAGAATCCCCACCCGACTTGTTTACTAATACAAACTGAGGCTTAGCAGCCTTACAAACAGCAGAACGATCTGCAGACAGGCCCTTGTGATGAAATTCCGTTCACATTATGACCAGCATTTGTTCCACTGTCATCAGACTGATTTTAGCCTTTGCTTACAGCTCAGGCTCCATTTTTAATTTGTTCATTCTTGATTCAGTGGAATCCACTGTGTCCGTTCAGCGGATATTTATTTTATTCCTACTGTGAACTGAACATCTGGACACAGAGATGCGTGTGACAGAGACGCCGCCCTCAAGGGGTCTGCAGTCCAGGAGAGGCAGCCTGACACGGCCAGGATACATGGGGATGGAGCCCCGAAGAGCGAGTAGCCAGTTCTTCCTGATGTGCAAGGAGGGGCACAACGGAGGGACCCTTGCAGAGTGGGAAGGTTGAACTGAGCCCTGAAATATAAGCAGATATTTGCTAGGCAGATGGGAGCAGGGGGGTGTGAA